TTGTAGGGCTCATCACCCCTTTTGAAGGATACGAAGCACGAGCGTCCCCGATGTCTCACCTACTCCAGTCTCTCCACACCGAAGGAATAGTACGCCGCACCTCTTGTCCTTGCATCCCCTCATTTCCCGTCCACCCTAGTAGGTCATACTCTAGCGCGCACCTGCCAGAGGAGAGGAGAGGAGAGGAGAGGAGAGGAGAGGAGAGGAGAGCAGGGAGGAGAGTTGACGTTTTTGACAGGCGGCAAGGTGTATTGAGATGATCGCCAGAAACGAGTTGGAAAAGGTTGAGAAGCTGATTGACGACGTGTTCACTCTGCGATCCAAGGTCAATCAAGTTCTGCATCCTCCGCTTGTTTTGTCGTTTGTTGTCGACCTCGAAGACTTTGTCGTAGCAGCGAGCGAGGAGGAGGAGATGGTCAAGAAGGCTTTTCATCAGTCAGCCGCAGAGTTCGAGGGGGTCGAGGTGACGGATGCAAGGGTCAAGGGCTTCCAAGGGGACGAGAACAGCACGAGGATGGAGCTTGCCGTCGAGTTTGACACGAGCGAGAAAACAGAGAAAGAGATCAACTTGGCGTTTGATAATTGGATGGAGAAGCAAGCTTTCAGCAAGTGCTTGACGGTGAGTTATGGACCAAGTTTGCAGATAGAAAGCATGATGGAAACGATTGTGATGAAGATGACAGAAGAACAGAGGCATTTTCAAGGCAGATGAGGGACGGGGGGAGGAGGAGAAGGAGGGACAAGAATGAAAAAGAAGTGCTAATGATAGCGGATATGTGAGGTTATCATGTCTAACAAGAGATTGTTTCTTCGCAACACAGAACTTCGGGATGATTGTCAAGAGGGCGAAGTTGGTCGGAGCTGTTCGCATGGCTAGCAAGGAATCTCTCTCTGCAAGCAGCTTCCTCAAACTGGTTTGTGTGCAAACATTCAATCTTAGTGCTTCTTGCTGACAAGAGGCTGATGGCAGTTGGAGAAGTTCAAAGGATATCAAGAACTGTTGAGCAACATGGAAAACATCGATGAAGGCAGATTGCACAAATTCATGTCGACAATTTCAAACCAGTATCTAGCGGAGCTTGTGAAGGATGAAGACAAGGAGGACGAGGACGAGGACGCGGAGGAGGAGGAGGACGAGGAGGAAGGAAAAAGGAGTATCGACAGGTCGTGGGAGAGATTGTGCTTGCAAGGCATCAAGTATGCTATGGGTGAGGTGTTGGAGGTTGCAGAGGAGAGGATGGGAGAAGAGCAGCAGGATGGGAAGGCGACAATGAGTGAAATGGTGAAGGAGCAGGAGCAGGAGCAGGAGCAGGAGCAGGAGCAGGAGCAGGAGCAGGAGCAGGAGCAGGAGCAGGAGCAGCAAGAGAATCAGAAGGAGGAGGAAGGAGGGACGGGGTTGGCGCTGGCTGAGTTTGGAGTCAGAGGAAGACGACGAAGGACTGCAGGAATGCGCTGGTTGAACCCCGATAGACTCCTGCCACATGCTGAGAGACTGTGCGAGGAGACCAATCTTCTCCGAGAGGTCTTCAACATCGTGTTTTCCTCCTCTTCCTCCTCCTCTTCCTCCTCCTCCTCTACGTCGTCATTGCTGCGTGCAAGCCTTTCTCGCTCGATCTCGTACTTGGCCAGCAGGCAACTGGAGGAAGAGGAGCGAGCAACAGATGAAGCCTACTTCCTTGACTGCGTCCTCCTCCTTGTACGGTACGGGAGCAGCAGCAGCAAACTGGAGGGTCTCCGTGGTCTGCTCCTCCTCTGTATGTCTCACCCTCGAGTTATGCGGCTGATCGCTAAGGAGGAGGGGATACGCATCCTTGCGCAGTGCCTGGAGGAGGGGACAATGCGAGGGAGGGTGCTTGCCTGCTCGGTGCTTGCTTGCCTCTCTGCCCAGCTCGAGCATTCTCGACTGTTCCTGCAGGTTGAAGGACTCTTGGTAGGTCTGTTGGAGCTCGGAGAGGAGGAGGGCGAGGAGGTGGAGGAGGAGGGCAAGGAAGCTGCAGCACTAGTACTTGCCAACCTCTCGGAGGACCAGAACAACGCTGCTCGCCTCCTGCTGGACGATCGTGTCATCCTCTTCCTGGCTAGCTGCGTCTCCTTCGGAAGCCTTGCTGCCTCCTGCTCCGCCATCCACGCGCTCTCCCTCCTTCCCATCGCTGACTTGCCCCTGGACAACTTCCGCATCGTGCACACGAGGACAGAGTGGCTGGTAGCTCCCAGCAGGGAGACCTCTCTCCTGCTCGAAGGAGCAAGCAGCTCCGCCTTCTCCTCTGGCCTCCTGCAGGTTCTCATCGGAGGATCCCCTCAAAATCAGATCGACTGCGTCCGCCTCCTCCTCAAACTCTCTGGCGACAACGCGCTCATCCTCCTCCTTCTCCAGACCCCCGGGACCCTCCAGGTCCTCATCCGCCTCCTAGGCCTTGCCTCCCCGGAAGCCAGCGAGCATGCAGCAGGGGTGCTGTATAGGCTCTCACTAGAGCGGACAGCACGGGCACAGGTGGGGATGGTAGAAGAGAGCCTCGCGGAGCTTGCTGGTGTGATGGACCAGGGAAGCACTGTTGCTCAGGTACTCCCAATTAATCTCCTCTCGTTCCTCCTTGTTCTCCTCCTCGTTTTCATCATCATCATCATCATCATCATCATCATCATCATCATCATCATCATCATCATCATCATCATCATCATCATCATCCTTTCACTCATTTGTCTGTTTCTCATTCTATTGTTCTCATTCCTCCTTACTCTGCTCCTTAATTCCTCCTCCTCCCTTTCCCTTCTCTACCTGTTTCTTCTCAACTGACATCTCCTCCTCCTCCTCCTCCTCCTCCTCCTCCTCCTCCTGCTGCTGCTGGTCATTTGTTTTCTCTCACCACCACACAAAAAAAAAGGAGGAAAAGGAAAGACGGCGCCTCCCCCCTCCTCCACCCTCGTTATGAAAAAGAGGAGAACGACAAAATCAACAGCGACATCGACGCGGGGGTGGGAAAAAGAAAGAAAGGGGAGGGGGGAGGGGGATCGTGGGCCCCCAACGCCATGAGGAGGGTGAGGGGGAAAGTAAAAAGAATTTTTCCCCCCCCCCCCCCGTGTCTCACAGAACATGGCCTCTGCTGCTCTTCTCAACTTCATCGACTGTCCAGAGAACCAGGCGAGGCTGAAAGAAGCTTCCTCCTCCATCGACGTCCTCCTACGTCTTGCAGAGGAGAGCGGCAACCAAGTCGTCAGGAGGAGCGCGGCTGGCGTGCTGAGGATGATCATGGAGGGGGTGGGAGGGTTCAAGGCCATGAGGATCAGGAGGAGGCTGGAGGGGATGAAGATATGAAAAGTTTTGCGCCACATTTCCGCTTCAATAGAAAAACTTTTGACGTAAAAGGAGGAGGAGAAGGAGAAGGTGGCAGCAGCAGCAGCAGCAGGAGGAGGAGGAGGAGGAGGAGGAGGAGGAGGAGGATGATCAGACACGGATCTTTGAGCCACTTTGGAACCAGTGGGCAGATGTCTTGTACATGTCGTCATCGAACACTCGAACCAGAGGCTTTCCTAGGATGTCAGTCTGCGTGCGCGCCAACTCCTGCAGCAAACGGTCAGCCAGTCGCAGTGTCGATGATGATTGAAAGCGTGCAGCACAGAAACGACGATGAGACCCCATGTGCAGACAGTCGAACTTTCTGTGCAACTCGACGTGCCAAACAAGATCCCCTCAACATAGCTGAACATGGTACAGATCGCAATACAAGCATGTCACCGGAGCTGTTCTCGCCCTGTTTTTCTTGTCAGCCCACTTGCTAGCAAATCGATTCTCAGTCTCATAGGAAGAGCTAAGGCCTGAAACGTCCGTTAATATCTCAAACTCCTTCCCTTCCCCTCCCTTCCACTCCCTTCCACTCCCTTCCACTCCCTTCCACTCCCTTCCACTCTTATCTCTCCTCGTACCCATCATCTTCTCTGGGAATCTTCGATCGTAAAACGTCTCCTCGAAGGGCTTCACTTTGATCTGCTTTGCCTTGGGCGGCAGCACAGAGTGAAGAAGCTCAAAATTTCTCTGCTCAGACCAGTTGCTGTTCAGGAAGACCATCAAGAAGTACTAGTGAATCGAAGGGCAAATACGCTATGAGCACTGAAGACGAGAATCTGGAGTTGGAGAAGCCTCCTCGCAGGCTGTTGCAGTTGATAGCCGTCGGTCGAAGATGCACCTGAGAGTCTGTCGGATCAGAGAAGCAGGGAGGGGAGAGAAGTAGCGGAGGTTATCAGGTGAAGGTGAACGATGATGAGGAGGAGGAGGAGAGAACGAGGACGGAAGAGCAACGGGGTAGCAAGTGAGCATGACCTGAGTAGGAAGGCTCCTGCTCATCGACGCCTCCTGCAGCAACCTCCTGCTGATCTCCCCGCTCCCCCGCACCATGTCGCGCATTTTATAACTGCCAACCCAACAAAGTGGGGTCAGGAAGCGAAGCAAAGGCTATTTTGAGGGGGTAGGGGTGGTGGGGGCAAACAGAGAACACGTCGGAATCTCTGGAAGCGAGGCGGGTGGATAGCGAGGGAGAAGAGCGAGGGAGGAAGGGAGCGAGCGAGCGAGGAAGGGAGCGAGGGAGGAGGGCGAGGGGAGGAGAGTGAAGGGAGCAGAGCAAGGGAGCAGAGCGAGGGAGGAGCAATCGTAGCTTTCTGCATACTCGTGGTGTATTCGAACAAGATTTTAATGTTAGAGGTGCGAAGAGGGGAGGGAGGGAGGGAGGGAGGGAGGAGGTAGGAAGGGGTTTTGATCGTCAGTGATTGCTCGCTAGCGCGGCGAGGGATGCCGAGACCTTGTGCATTGCTTTCTCGAAGAGATTGTGAACCTTGAGCTCTACCTCCACGAGCTGTTCACATGCTGTCATGCCGCCGACTTCATAAGGTCCACAACCCTCACCTGCTGCGGCACATACTCCTTGTCGTAGGTCACGTTCACCTGGCAAACGTGACGCTCGTTAACTCCTCAACTCGCACACCCCTCTCTCCTCTCCTTCTCTCCTCCCTCCATGTTTTACCCCCTCCTCCCCTCCCTCCTCCCCGCCCGCCCTCCCTCCCTTTTCCCGGGCCTCGCTCGCTCGCTCCATCTATGTGTCACTCCCTCCTCTCCGCCCTGAGCTCCCTCCGCCCACCTTGCTCGTCCTTCCCCCGGTCTGAGGCTTCCAGGCTTCAATCCCGCCCTTCGTTGGCCTTCAATTGTAGCACAACAATGACAGCATGGAGAGCTACCTCAATCAAGTTTTGTAGTTCCTGCAGCACAAACATGAGAAGAAATGATCGTATGAGGGAGGAGGAGGAGGATATAATGTTCAGAGCGATAAGAAAGGATACTATGAGAACAAGGATGCGAAGAACAATGTAGGCGATGGTGAGCAGGAAAGAGGAGTAGAAGAGGAGGAGAGGACGGGAGGGGAGGGGAGCGGGGGTGATGCTGGGGAGAGGCCTCAACCTGGGGGAGCGCGCTGAGAATACGGAACCTATCGTTCTTGGAGGCTCCAATCTGAGGACGAGCTCAGGGACGGTTAACGGGCCGAGCTCCGACACTTCATCACCTGCTTCCAGACGCTCTCGGAGAGCAGGGGGACCGCATCGACGGTCACGAACTTCTCAGCTAGCTTCAAGCCGATCTGCCGATGGACCAACCGTACTGTCACTTGGTTGCCCGAGACTGAGCTGGGTATTCCCTCACCTTCCGAACGTTAGCCTTGTCAGCCAGGGAGATGAGTTGTTGTTTCCCCTCGTAATCCCCTGGGAGTAAATGGAATAAGGACGAATGTAAAGGCGGCAAATGAATCTCTCAGACTCGCACCTGTCACCATATTGTATTTCGCCATGTACTTTCCCAACGTCAGGTGCCACTTGTCCAAGATCTGCTTGCCCTCCGTCTGTCGTCTGTTAGCGAGCATCCATCTCCTCTCACTACTCACCACCGTTGCCCCAAGGCCCGGCTGCGACTGAATCTGCGCACACAAAGGGAATGAATCGCCTGGGATGCTGAGATCCCCACACCTTCTGGAGAGCCATCTGTAGTCGAGATGGCGCTTGTGTAAGATTCAGTATCAGGGGGAGGATCTTTATCTTGTCCAACTCCTTGATCTGTGCCAGCGTCAGCCATTCAAGAGCACAGGAGAGGCTCACTCTACCTCGTGAGCGACACGGGAGCTCGACCGGCTCTCTATCGCAGCTTCCAGCTCCTGCAAGGGACTCCGGTCATCGTTCCATCCAATTGCAAGAGGGCACGACATTGAAGGCAGAGTCGACGTCCTTCATCCTCGCCGGGGGTCTCTTGACCTTAACGACCTCCTTGAGTTTTGCGTGCAAAGACGCTGCCTTGGCATCCATCTGCTGCTTCTTGGCTATAGAATCGCTGCTCTTCTTGACTTCCGGTGGGTGTGCGTTTGACTGGGAAGGAGCCTGAGGTTTTGGTGCATTCTTCAACCCTGTTGCGGAGGGATTCAGTGGGATTCAAGATAAAGAAGCGTCTTCGTCTACCCAGCGCTTTCCCTGCAGTCTGAAAAGACAGCGTCAACTGTTCAAAATGTTCGCAGGAGACGGGCATCACCGGTTTCGGCCGCTTCGCATCTTGTTCGGTACCAGCAGATCCATCCAGTGGCCGTTTCTATCGTGTCATCAGAGAACAAGGGCGTGCGATGGATAGAGACAGGCAGACCTTGGACGACTTGGCTTCGCCCTTTTTCTTGCTCGCAACCTTCGCATCCGGTGGAGATGATCCATTTTCTTTCGACTTGGACACTTTCTCAAGCTCCTTGCTCACAGGGTCAGCAACAAAGAGGAAGGTAGCAGGGCAGCCCAGGCACCTTGGTGACAGGATTCACTTTCAGTATCTTTGGTCCTTTTTTTGAGTCAAGTTGCTGCAAATTGATTTGAGCTGCAAAGAGGGGGGCAAGGTTGAAATACAGTGTAGACGAAATCCATCACAGGGTAGGGATATGGAAATTTTTCACAGCAGAGGCGAACAAAGTCTTGAATGCTCAGCAGCCCGTATGGTAGCTGACAAGGTCAAAATGTTAGCTTCAAAACTGGTTCAAGAAAACAGCAAGAATTCGGTTCACTTGATTCGACAACGGTTTCTCCAAAAAGTTCGGGTCTGCCAAGGAATGCAACTCTCCACTGGCTGGAATTCAAGTAAATCATCAGACTCCAACAAGACTCCAGCCCTGCACTCACATAGTTCATCCTTCTCTTGCCCCTTCGCATCCCAGACGTACGAGCAACACCATTCGGCATTTTGCTATCAAGGCGTCAGCACAACCTTCATGTCTGATGGAGAAAACCATCAGGTATTTCTCGGGGTTTTTCGGCTCCACTTTACTGAAGTACACCTGACCAAGGCCAAGGTAAGACACGCGGCGCATCTGAGATGTTCTGTGCCTTGAAAGGCTTGCGCAGAGCATCCAGTGAAACCACGTCCAAGTGAAATGATAGCAAGATGCTCCTGGAAGTCCTTTCAAGGTCAACTCCCTAGAACGAGATCAGTTCACGCTCTTCTTCATGGCATTTTAGTCTCTTTGAAAGTGAGCACAGCACATGTATTCATCGTCTCGTACCTTCTTCCGGTACCTCGCTACGCACACCTTTGATATTTCTCGTGACTGGTAGTACCAATACAGGACCACAAAAAACCTACAGTAAAGCAAGTGACTAGAACTCTGTTGGAGGAAATCACCATCGAACACACTCACCGCCCACACTCCTCGATTGCTTTCTGCGATCCCCCCTCACCGATAGCGACAATCTTGCCCAAGAACGGCATACTGAACGAGGGTGAGTTGGGCAGCACTTGTGCCTGACCGCTACAATGCCGCACCTCCCTTCGTCTGCCGCCACAAAGCAATTATCCAACAACTGAGCCGGAACGTGTCAGACAGAGCAAGCACGTCCTCTCTCTGCAATTGCCTTGTATTCACGGCGACTCGTCTTGATTGATTGATAGAGCTGCGCTCCCTCACGGTCTCCTGCATGCCTGCATGACCAACGTGCGATTCCTCCTCAACAGCTTGCCTGATATCACTTTGAGCAGTTCACCACTTTCCGTGCGCAGAGGAGGGCCAGGGAAGTATCGAGGACCCTCCGCTGATTCTTTGTCCTCCTCCTCCTCCTCCTCCTCTGGCCCTCGAGTGCCTTCGTCATTGAATACACTTCTTTTGACCTTTTGCTTCTTCGGCTTCCAGTGTTCACGGGTCTCTGTGCAGCAGACATGAGACATAGGACATGAGACGTAGGTCATCAGACGTAGGACATCGCACATCGCACATCGCACATCAGGAGAAGGTGCCATACCATTCAGGTCATCTTCAGCAGAACCCATCCTCCATAGATGTGTGAACAATGGGGCAGGCTCCCTCGTTTTCTCACTTGTGACCTGTTGTGCTGCAAGCTGTAAAACAACTCAGAGGCGGCAACAAACTTCAGCAAGCGGACTAAAACATGGCGAGCCTACGCTGAGTGAGAGGGAGACTAAACAGAGGCAAAACAAATCGGTTCGTGGGAAGACTCGCGCTTCTAGAACGGTTTAGCTCGCCCATTTAAGCCACCTTTTCCTCGACCACCACTGTTTTGTCGATGTTGAAATCCTAGTATGCCCCTTCTGCCTAGTCCTCATTCTTGTCATCATCATCGCTATCATCATCATCCATCCATCACTGTCTCGTCCTCTCATCTCCCTCCAACCCCATGACGAGCGCACGCCAGGCAAGGCATCATAATGGAATAGAAGATGATCTCGACTCTTTTTCTCTGCCCCAGGTATTGAGTGCTGAGGCGTGCCGGCGGCGGCATCCGGTGCGGGGCCGGGCCCGGGGCGTGCCATCATGGATCGACCCCTGAGTCATACCCGGCGGCGGGCACCGTCGGGCCTGTGGACCGCGGCACTCGCGGCCGGTGCCGGATGTCCTGATCGAGATCCGATGATGGCGGCATAGGATCGGACTCGGATCATGCTGAGTCCGTGCCCACCGTCGGATCATGGCCGGGTGAGCTTTCCCGGCTCGAGGCTCCGGGCTCGTGTTAAGTTGGCGTACGACGGGGGGGTCACAGTGTGCTTCCGGTAATGATCGGACGGGAGTACTGCGCGTCGGCGCCAGTTGACTCGTGACGGTCACCTGGCACCCGGCGGGGCCCGGGCCACTGCGCGTGCCGCGTGGCCGGCGGCCACTGGAGTCAGGGCCACGGATTGAGAGTCTCGGAATTCCAGCTAGTCACTGAGTGTACCAAGCCCCCCGCGATTCCGGCGAGGGGGCCCGGCCCCCGGCCGCCGCCGAGCCTCTCCGCATTGATCATCGGATGACCTAACTCCCTATGGTCCTCGTACTGATTTTTAACTTAACTTTGAGTAAAGGTAGGGCACAGGTGCCGGAAACTTTTGAGTAAAAGAAAAGCTATCCTCTTGATGAGGGGGGCCGGTGGTCATCGGGGGTTGTTTTCTGTGGGGGGGTTGTTTTGAGAACTCACAAGGAAGAGTTTTATGAAAGGACTCGAAGAAGGCGGGAGAGAGGGGAGAAGAGGGGTCCTTGAGGGTACTGGGGTGGTATACCTCACAAACCCCAGCCGTTGGAGGTTGAGGGGGTTAATGTGACACGTGGGGGTGGCACGAGGATCGGTGGTCCTCGTGCGACCTTATCGTCGATGACTGGATGGAGTTTTAGGGGGTCAGGGGTGGGAGGGGTAGGGGTATTCTGAGAGTCGAGTGGTCGAGTCAGCATGCTTTACTCCCAGGTACCCCACCCTACCCGAAGAAACGAAGGAGTCGTGTCTCCCTTACAAAAGGTGAGAAAAGCAGGGGTACCTGCAATAATTTGATAACATGACTCAAACTCCAGGGACAAAACCCTTGGGGTTTGGCATTGAGGTCAATGATAGGAAATCGTCAAAGTCATCATGGCAGCCTAAAGAGGCCTTCTGAGACAATACAAGACTTTCGAAAATACTCCCTTTCGACTGGATTGTTTTTGGACCACCCCTACCCCTGGTGGGGGGGTCAGAGCAGATAGGAAATTTCAGGCAAGACCACCGGTACCCAACCGCCTGCCCTATTTCCCTGTCCCTTCCAAAAGATCTGTGTCACTGGTGGTTGTTCATTGACTACCCCTACTAAGTTTCCCAGTACCCCGTTATTCCAACCAGACCAGTCGCTCCACCCCATCCATGCGGCATGAGGCATTACTGAAACCTATCCTCATGGGATAACGAAAATATGCCTTGAAAGATATGAATAAGTTCCGGCATTCTGCATCGAGCTTGTCTGTTGACCGACGGCATTGCTACCAACATACCAATCACCCTCCCAAGACAGACATGACCCACCCACTGCCTCGACCTCCCTGCATTTACCAACCCCATACCTCGATTGGTTCTGTGGCACCCCTACCCCCTCTATCCCATTAGAATCACCCTCATGACAGAATGCGCCCGGGGTGTTCAGGGGAGGGGGATGAATTTTATAAAGCGATATTTGACTAAAGATTGGGAGACAGGGGTACCAACAAGTGAACACCCACCCCACCCTTGCTCCTGTATCAGTCTTGTCTCAGATCTGCCGCACGTCGCTCCGCGATGGCTGGTAGGACGGGTCGGCCTCGCGGGATTCTCGACAATGAGAGCGTTAAGCTCATCTATGCCGAGAGAGTGGAGGAAAAGAGGAGGAAAACTGCTAGGAGCCTTGAGCTTGCACAGGAATATGGGGTTAGCGCAAAAGCGATTAGGGATATCTGGAATCGTCGAACGTGGTGGCATGCTACTCAGGTGCTGTGGACTCCAGAGGAAAGGAGGGAACACGAAAGCTCTTGGACAAGACGCTCAAAACCTGGAAGACCGCCTGGATCCAAAGATACAAAACCTAGAAAGTGTAAAAGAAGAACTTTGGAACAGCTTGCTTTAGCATCCGAGAGCTCAGGATCCGCATATCATGTAGGATCTTCACAGGCCGCTTGCGAGGGGCAGGATCACGAAGGCATGTCAAGATATAGGGATGAATACGATGACGACGAGTATGATGATGATGACGACGACGAGGAGGAGGACGAATATGACGTGGACGAGGACGGGGACCAGGACGGGGATGGCAGGCGGGGGGACAGTGATAACGAGAAGGATATTGAATCTTTCGACATGATAGAGGAAGCTGATACGCCTTCCTCTCAGTCGGACCCATCATCAGCTTTAAATCTTTTGGTATGTGACCGCTTTTATTATATCAAGTAACACTGCATGTCCTGCAGGAATGCCAAGGATTCCCGATGGAGGGGGCTTGCCAAAGCTCGATAGACCTTGGATCCAGCAGCACGACTACCAGCAATTCTTCTACATTCACAATTCATCGGGGAATATGTATGGCGCAAGAGGAATTATTGCAAGATGCATTGGAGTTCATGGAAAGGAGTATACGTTGAAACACTTTTTTCTCGAACTTTACAGGTGTGATCTGTGATTGATTTTTCTTGTTGTATGGATGATCAAATATTCAGGCAGACAATGCGATCATGTCATCATACTCTCTGCTTGAGAGAGCGCTCAAATCAGCTTTCATGATATTGGAAGTCAGTGACCCATAAAAGGTTCTTTGTACCTCTATCCATGCCCTGTTTGAACATGTGAATGCCCAGGTACCACAAGAGAAAGCTTCATCTTGCAGCTTATCTTGCTGTCACAATGGGTCGTTTGATGCCAATGCGGCCCACATTCACGACTGCAACATCCTGATGGTCTATTGATTTTTTTTGGACGAAACCGTTTTCATCCTGATACTTTCTTCATGGCAGGAATACGATGAGATTTGCAGGATAACAGCATTCAAGATTTGCAAGAGTCAGCAATACGCGTTTCCTTCAAGCTGGCCCAATTTGTGGTACGCTGCGCACTATTGAATTGTGATTTCATCTCTTGTTTTGGTAGTGTCATTTATCTCCAACGTTCACGATCATCCCTAACCAGCCCTTTTTTTAGACTGAAGAGCTCTGAGTGAAGTGTCCCTCAGATCTGAGTGACACTTTGACAGCTTCTCCCACCAAGAGTGGATATGCCTCGTTGAGATAGCCGTGCTGGAAAACCTCGTAGAAGGAAACTCCCGGACAGTTTCTTTGAATGCTATCGTGTGTGTTTCCATGCCCTCAGTATATGTGCATTATGTATATGAGGCTCAACGGTGAAATATGTGCATTATTTGTATGAGGCTCAACGGTGAAAGACGCTGAGGTTGCTTTAGAAGTAGCCGATTGGTTTCTTCTAAAATTTATCATTTAGATTGCCTCTTCATCGATCCCTCGATTTCTGTGGAAATTGTGAATATGTCGGCAACTTGCGGAAGACTTCTGCACCTCTCTCAGTCGTGTTGCCAAGACACTCCTTGCTTACAAGAGGGCATACGAATTGAAGTGGATAGAGTCCATGAAACAAAACGGTTTAAACCTAATGTTTCGTGATTGTGGACGTGCAAAACTTTCCGAATCCAAAGTATTTTGCCCAATCCACCAGGTATAGCAAATTGCTGGCAACTACTTGGTGTAAATCTTGGCTTTGAATCATTAGAGTGATAGGAAGGAGCAGGCCCATACAGACCCTTGAAATGTGCTCCAAGGTCCATACCGTGAAAAACAGCAAAGCAAACTCGAGTCAAATCAATAAAAATGTTCATTATGAGAACAAATCGTTGATCCCAAATCATCGTCAAACCATCACACAGTCAACGATTGGCTTATCATAACGTCAACCCGCACCGCATGCGATCTGTGGGCGCCATGGGCAGCCCGCATCCCCACTCGTGCAGGGGCGTAACTCGGTTTTCCCTGGTTTTCCAAGTCGGGGGCTTCTTTCAACCTTCGATAAGCAAACTCGGTGGGTGGGGGTACTTGACAGGGGGATTAATGAGGGGAGGGTGATTGAGGAAAGATGGGTAGAGAGATATTCAGGTTGGGGTAGGGGTATCGATGACAAAGGGGGTAGGGTATAAACCAATGGGGTGGTGGAATTGAGGGGGTGGGTTCACCAAGAATGCTGGCGCAGCCTTGAAAGGGGAGGGAGGTGGGAGGTGGTAGGTGGGAGGTGGGAGGAGGGAAGAGGGAAGAGGGAAGAGGGAAGAGGGAAGAGGGAAGAGGGAAGAGGGAGGATAGGATTAAAGAAGGGAGGGATAAGGGAGAGAACATGACAGAGGCGAGGAGGAGAATCAGAAGGATGGGTGCGCTGAGATTCTAGTATGACGCGCTACTTGTGCTAAAGGTTTTCGAGGGCAGTATCCTGAGAACTCAAGTTGGAAGCGCCTGCAACCGTGATGGTTGCACTGCAAGCATTGAGCTTGAGAACGTTGTCGAAGATTTCACCTGCTGGACAAGCGATTGTACCTCCTGCTAAGTTGCATTCCCGTTGGCTCTCCGAGGGCTCCTCCAGCGCGAGCAAGAAGAAGCAAGACGGTGAGTGAAATGCTGCTGGTCCACGTGTAGGGTTGCGCATATGGTCCAAACTCAATCTGACTTCATGCGGCCATGCAGCCGTCATCATGCGTTTACGCAGGAAAGAAGAAGAAACAAAGAAGTGAAGTGCAGATGCGTTCTTTTGTCCAGGCATTGACATGCGGTCAGGTACGGAGCACCGCTCGGCCAAGCCTTTATCATAGCCATTGGAGGAATGACGGCCATTGGTTTAGGAATTTATGGTGCGCTGACTTGAATTTCGTTGTTCTGTCTTGATGCCTTCTGTTGCAGGCTGGACAGTGATGGACCCCAGGATGGGAGGAATCAGCTCGAGGAGGACAGGCTTCTAACAAAGGACCTTGTTGGTCATACGCTCTTATCCAATAATGAGTTTTCAGAATTTGCGAAGAACTCGTGTGAAGGTGAGCGATAGATTGAGATCTCCTTATCGCCCGTGGGCATGGAGATGCTTCGACCCCAATGAATCTCCTTAATTCCTCCACCTCGGGGCAGGGGAACGATTTACTTCCTGCAGCAAAGGAGAATGTGCAAATCCATCACGTTCGTCCCTGTTAAGCCCGTTCGAAAGAGGCCTCCCTCCTGCAAACTTGTCCTTAGACTCACCAGCAGGAGATTTCACTACCGACCTGCTCGAAGAAAGTGTAGGAGTCGAACGTTTCCAGTGCCTCCTGTTCACAGGAAGCGTCTCTTCACTCCTGCAGACATCTCCAACCGCAATCTTCGATCACCTTGTACGATAGACCGAGGGCCTGGGACCGCTGGATCGTGGAACCGTCGCAGAAAGCACCAGCTAGTGGAGAAGGTGAGAAAGGGATGAAACTAGTGAATGAGCGACCTGCGTCTGTCGGGCCGTCCTGTCCGTCTGTGCCTGCAGAAAGGAGAGTCCAGCCTCCTTCTCCTTCTCATCCTTCAGGTTGAACAAACGTTGAAAGAGCAACTCATGCCACCTTGAAGCTCCGCCGCCACCATGAGCGCCATGTGCGAACATCTGGACAGGCGTGTGAGGGCAAGAGCGAGGCCAGAGGCGTCTTGACCTTCCTCCCCTGCCGATCTTTCTTGGTGTACCAGAGCCTTTCATGTCGATTGTCGTCTCACCGGCAAAGATAACGCACATCTTCTTCCCTTTCTTGTTCTCTTGCTCATGATCTAACTCGGCCAGTGCCTGTCGTTGAGAACCCTGACGTTAAAAACCCATGCCTGTCCTTTGCTTGTGAGGAAGGGTAACCTGCCTCGCTGTCTCCGCGATTCTGTGAGCTGCATGTGCCGTGTCTCCTCGTAGACAGAGCGTTTCGATTCGACCTTCAAATCCCTTCTCACAAAGAAACCTCTGCATCCTTGTCTTAGCGCCTGTCATCCTTTCCTCCTCTCCTCACCAGCGCTGCCTCAGCTGCCATCCTGTTGTTTCCTATCACAAAGTTCTTACTGCGAGAGAGCCTGGCGTCGCCCTCTTTCAGCGTTTCGTCTGCTCCACTGCATCCGCATCAAACGCTTGCGGTCAAGATAGTTCTTAGAGACTTCAGCTCACCTCGCTGCTCCAGCACGGAGATACTCAATGACAGACTGAGGAACCAAAGCAGCCAGTCCCCGCGACTTGACAACGTCATGAGAAGATCGTCAACGAGTCTAAGTGAGTGCACGCACTTCAATCAGGTTGAGGGCATCCGCAAACGTCGAAGGGTCGAACGTGGTGGGGCCTGACGCGATGACATCGATAGGGTCGTCCAACACGTCGGAGAGGATCAAGGAAACAACCTGGTTTTTAAGAAAATTTCATCCACAGGGAGGAAAGAGGGGGAAAGGGAAATTTCCTACGTTGGCAGGGTATGCCGCTGCGGCCAGCTTCCCTCCCTTGACGGCGGAGATGTGCTTGCGGACCTGGAGGTTCAAGTCTTACAGCAAAAGCGACACATCCTCGTCCTACAGTGTTGAGCTCATTGATAGATGCTCCAGCTGTAGCGAGGGCCTGACGAACTCTCGTCAGCATCCCCGTCCTGTCCGTGGTTGCACGATGCTAATTCCTCCTCACCTTGGTCGTGGAAACCTTATCCTCCAAGGAGATGGAGCCGACGGGTACAGGAAGAAGCGCAGACCCTCCTCCTGATATCAGGACTAGCAGAATGTCCCCGTCTCCGCACTGCCGAGCCATGTTCAGGGCCCTGCGAGCCGTTCACAGTCAGTCCAGCAGCTTCGCATGTTCAGGCTGCTCTGACTTTGTCGCTGCCTGCACTGCTCGTGCATCTGGGATGTTCCCCCTCGACCCCAAGTGAACCTGGGCAAGCATGAGATGAGAAGAAACTCGTTTGAGGGTCCTCCTACTTCACTCCTCAGCCCCGTTGCATCAGACTCGGGCTGAGATATCACTATCCCACTTCTCAGCTGGTCCCCGAGAACGCTCTCTGCCGCTCTTGCCATCTTGACACTGGCCTGCGCAAGGCAATGAGGATGACTGGCATCACTGCGGTTGCTGATGCTGCTGCCTTGCCGAAGGATAGCAGGTTGACGCCTCTTGTCACTGCCAGCTCAACATCCTTGACCTGCAGCTGTGTAGCCGAGCCGTGCTTGACGTTGAGAGCATCTTGCGAGAGCTGTAAGGAAGAGGAGGAGAATGATGCACAAGGAGGAACCTCTAACGAGACGATCTGGGCAGACAGCCGAGACAGCGAGGCTGAACGCCTGCTGAGCATGGACCCTTGGATCCTGCAGAAGAGCAGCTAAGGAGGACGAGTAGGGAGGGTGTGGGGTACCGCGGCGATCGAGGACATGAAGAGGAGGAGGGAGAAGCAAATCAGGGGAGGAATCTTGACTTGTTATTGCAGTTTCATCCTCAAACACGTCTCCTCTTCTCTCCCCCTCCTCGCTCCTCTTCTACCTCCCTTGCGTTTCCCCACCCTGATCGTCCTCCTCCGTCCTCCTGTTCTTTCACTCCTCTGTGATAAGATGATGTTGAGCTTGCTCACTCTGCACCCGAATTTCTTCGTCTGATCCCCAGCCTGATAAACGACGTCACTCCTTCCTCTCCCTCTCCTCCCTCCTCTCCCTCTCCTCCCTCCTCCCCCTTGTCCTCCCTTGCTCTCCCTTGCTCCCCCTCCTCCCCCTCCTTCCCCTCCTCCCCCTTCGTTCATAAGCATCACATCATTGTCTCATATCTCCTTCCTTCCGATCTCCTTCCCCCCCCCCTCCTGTTCTCCCGGTCCCCTTCATTCCTTTTCCCTACACCCTTTTCCTGCTAGCCTCTGAAAAAGCCTCTGGAGCCCTCCCCTCCACTTCCTCGCCCCTCCCCTTCCCGCTCTCCCTCCCTACTGCTGCTCCTCCCTCCCCTTCCTCCTCTCCCTCCCTGCTGCTGCTCCTCCCTCCCCTTCCCGCTCTCCCTGCTCCTCCTCCTCCTCCCTCCCCTTCCCGCTCTCCCTCCCTGCTGCTGCTCCTCCTCGCTCTTCATCACGCATATTCTCCTCTCATTGACTGTCATCTTCATCTGCTGCTGCATCCCCCGCTATCCTCACGTCCCCGTCCCCCCTCCACACCCCCTTCCGCGTCCTCTCCCCTGCTTCCTCTGCTCTTCCTGCCCTGCCCTGCCCTGCCTTCTTGATCTCACGCTCCTGACAGATCATGTCGGCTGTGCGCTTGTTGCCCATGGCGATGCTGGCGTGGCGAAGCTGCGCGTTCCATGTCGGCATGCGAACTTCCCTTCTCCCTGCCTCCTCCTGGTCCTCCTCCTTGTCCTCCTCCTGCTTCTCCTGTCCTGCTGTTTTGGCCTCCTTCATCTGGAAGCGAGGCGCCAGCAGGAACTTGGTGTCAGCGAGGCTTGCCAGGAGCATGTCTGCCTCAGCGCAGGTACAGGCGCAGGCTTGCAAAACTGTATGCTCGGCCTCGAGCTCGTCAACAGCTCCGTCCTCGGACGAGTCTGTCCTGCTGGCTGACGACTGGAGGCTGGTGAAGGCTGTGGGAGACGGCTCCTGCTTCTTCCACTCCATCAGCGCGACGCTGCAGGGCGAGTACAAGCCGGAGGAGCTGCGGCGAGCAGCGAGCGAGCTTGTGATGCGCAAGGCGGAGGAGGAGATCAACGGAGCTACCGTGGCTCAGTGGATCGAGTGGGAGACAGGAATGACCCCGTCGGAGTACATGCAGGTGATGGCGCAGGACGGAGCCTGGGGAGGAGCCATCGAGCTACACCTGCTCGCGGACTTTCTGTCTGCGCAGATCAAAGTCTACGAGAGGTCGGGCAACGGCAGGTTCATGCTACAGCACGTCTTTGGCAGCTCCTCCTCCTCGTCTCCCTCCTCCTGCCGATGTCTCCATGTCGTCTACGACGGCAGCCACTACGACGCTCTGATCCCGGCAAGGATGCAAGAGGCTGGCTCTAGAGGAGCTGAGCCCAATACGCCCCCACCTGCTGACCGCCTTGTCCTGGGCGACCCCGCGAAGTTGAAGTCGCAAATCGCCGTCAGGAACAAGTTCGGCCAGTGCGTCCTGGGATACCCCGAGCCCAAGGGAGAGCAGCACACTGCTACTGTGATCTTCATGCATGGGCTGGGAGACTCGGGGTACGGCTGGGCTCCTGTGTCAGAGCAGCTCCAGATGCCTTGGATCAAGTTCATGTTCCCGACTGCCCCCGCCCAGCCGGTGAGGAGGAGGAGGAGGAGGAGGAGGAAGGTGGCAAGAGGGTGGGGGGGAGAGTAAGGGAAGAGGGAAGGGATGCACTAGGAGTACCAGCTGTGGAGAGGTAGTAGGAAAGGCAAGTAATGTAGAGGAAGGGATGGGATGGAAAGTTGTAGAGGAGCTTGATTATGAACATGTCTTCTCTTCCCTTTGCTTCTACAACTAGTCGAGTGATGGAAACTAAACAGGTGTCGCTCAACATGGGGATGGAGATGCCGGCTTGGTTCGACATTTACTCCCTTGACCCTGAGGACAAGAAGGAGGATGTGGAGGGGATGCTGGAGAGTGCCAAGTACGTTTCCGACTTGATTGAGAAAGAAATCCAGGTGAGGAGGAGGAGGAGGAGGAGGTGGTGGTGGTGGTGGTGGTAGTGGAGGAGGAGGAGGAGGAGGAGGAGGAGGAGGAAAAGGAGGAGGAGATGGGAGGAGATGGGCTCTGTGGTAGAGGAGAAGAGGAAGCGCGGAGATGCAGGAGATAAGGAGTGAGTCGGGGAGAGGCAGAAGATGAAGAGGAGCAGGAGGAAGGTTGGCGATGACGATGGTGGTTTATCAGAAGGGAATTCCCCCCAACAGGATTGTTCTCGGAGGTTTCTCTCAAGGCGGCGCCATCGCGTACGCGACTTCCCTCATGCTCAGTGAGACGCCGCTGGCTGGCGTCTTGTGCCTGAGCACGTGGATCCCCCGCTTCGTGCGTCCTTCCCCTGCAGGTCAGAATGCGAGAGGAGGGAGGCAGGAGAAAATGTTGCGGGGCAGAGGAGGGACGGGGGGGAGGAAGGGATTAAAGTAGGCGAAAGGAAGGGGAGCAGGGAGCAGGAGGGCTCATACTGCTGCAGGGCTGAAGCAAGACTTCCTGGTATGCCATGGCGACAGCGATATGGTGGTGCAGTACGAGTGAGAGAAGGAGGAGAGGGAGGAGGGTCGTTGCTTTTGACTGAATTGAGCAGTTGGGGGAGGCAGAGTTTCGAGAAGCTGGTGAGCGAAGGAGCCAAGGCTGAGTTCAAGACTTACAGGGTCCGATATGCTCCTCCTCCCTCTCTCTCCCTCTCTCTCCCTCCCTCCCTCATGCATTTCATCAGGGAATGGGCCACAGCCTTTGCGGGGAGGAGCTTCAAGGTTTGAGGTCTCCCTGCTGCTCTCATGTCATTGACGGGAATCGTCAGACATGCGAGACTTCCTGCTCAAACGTCTTCCTGGCACAGCAAAGCAGTAGGAGCGGGGTAAGGGGAGGTAGGAGCAGGGTAAGGGGAGGGTTACGAGTGGGGGAGGGGCTGAAGGTGAGGAGGAGCGACAGGAGGTGGAGAGGATGGAAGAACCATCTCATGAAAACAATTCTATCAAACAAAGTTACAACCTTGACAACATCATCTCTTTAGCTCATATGCATATCATTCCCAATCATTGAGTTCCTCAACTTCACTCGTTGACACGTCCTCCTGGTCGTCTACAGCTTCCATCAAATCCTCGTTTTGCATGTCCTCCCTGCCATCCTTCGTCAGGAAGGGATAAGGAGGGAGACTGAGCCAGAGTGAAGAGCAGGGGAAGAGAAGCAGCGGCAGTGTAGCACAGGGGGGAGAGCAAAGGTAGGTAAACAATGCAGGGAGATTGAGAGAAGAAGAAACAGAGGGGTGGAGGCGATGAGCAGAGAGCGAGGAGAGCGAGGAGAGAAGTAGCAGAGGGAGACAAGGGAAGTGGAGGTGCAGCAGCAGAACAAGGTCATGCACGACTTTCTCTGCTTCTCCAGCTGCTTGTAAGACCATGTCATCTCCACAGGCCGCAACCTGTCAACACAGTCAGCTCCTCCACATGCGCCATTCCTCTCCCCCTCATGTTCCCCAGACCTCCTCCCCTCCCACCTCCCCTTCATCCTCGCCTTCCTCCTCCTCTACCCCCTGACTCTCTCCTCCTCGTCATTCGTTATCTCCTCTCGCTCCTCTCCTCCCCACATCGTCTACCTCTCGTCATGGTAGGAAGTGCATTGTCTGACTGCTTCCCTCACGGCCTTGGGGGCACCCGGCTCGGGCTCGAAGCTGCGTGCTCCTCGTCACACGCAGGAGATTCTAAGCGAGAGGAGGGGAGAGGTAAGAGGAGGGGAGGAGAGGGGAGGGGAGAGAGAGATTCTATCAATGGAGAGGAGAGGAGGGGAGGGGTGAAAGGAGGAAAGAAAGGAGGGAGAACAAGCAGGGAAGGGAGGGAATGGGAGGAGCGAGTACAAGTCAGAGCAGGAGTTGTCTTCATCTTCATCAATTGCTTCCATCATGCCCTGGCGCAAAAGAAGTGACGAAGGAGAAAGTGAAGGTAACTCGGCATGCTCTTTCACCTGCTTCACTGTTAGCCCGTTCTCCAGCAGCTCGTCCAACTGATCGTCGTTCATGCACAGGTTATGTATCCTCCTCTGCAGCAACGTTGCAATTAGGAAGGTACCAGTAAGGTGCAAGGAGGGGCAGGCCAGGCAGCTCAAGTAGACGGGGGCGAACAAGGAGGAAGCGAATCGGAGCACTGCAAGGAAGAGGAGGAAGGGAAAGGAGGAAGGGATGACCCCGTGAGGTATGAAGGAGAGAAGGAGGGGATAGAACAATAGACATCAGGTGGACCTTGAGTCTTGCGCATTTCGACTTGAGAACCTTATGGAAGATATTCTCCCCATTCCTGACGCAAAGTCTCAGCGAGGAGGAGGAGGAGGAGGATATATCAACATCGAGCACTGCCGCCAGTTCGCTCCAAGGTGCATCAGCATGCGGGTAGCTGCGAACCTTGCGGCAAAGCTCCCGTCAGAGGTGAGGAGGCATCAGACCTCGCAAGCTTCACTTGGCGTAACGCACGGCTACAAGGAGGGGAGTGTTCCTGTCGCGGTTCTCTGCCTCTATGGAGGCTCCCCTGTGCACGAGCTGGTCCGAGAGCATCAGGAGAAAGATCTCATACAGCACGAGGGGGTCAGACCATCCGAATGATGTGATCGTGCCCTCGGAAAGCAGCATGGTGGAGGGGAGTCCAGAGGTATCCGTCAGGAACGTTGATCTGTCCTCCTGCCCTGTGCTGGCTGTCAGCCTGTGGAGGGAGCGATAGGAGGGGCCTTACTTGAGGACTTCGAGGACTTGTTGGACGTGGTCTTTCGGGCACTAGTGAATGTGTCAGAGACTCAGGAGCGAGACGGTCAGGGCAGACCATGGCATCTTCTCGAGGGTAGCGACAGAGCTCGATCAGCTCCGAGTTGAGCAGCTCCTGCAATGCGAGAAACCGGTCAGGTGGAGGATGTGAGACAGGAGAGGGGGAGGAAGAGGAGAGGAGCAGAGGGGTTTGGAGGGGATCAGAGGCCGACTAGCAATAGCGTGACAAAACAAGGAAACGGGACAGGATTGAAAGCAGGGGAGGAAGAGAGGAAGGGGGGAGGAGGGGGAGAGGAGGTGTGACCTGGTCGCCCTCCGACACGTTTGCGTTGACTATGTCAGGCTCCTGCATTCCGCATCAAACATGTCAGGAGAGGATGATGGAACCGCTGTAAGCTCCGAAGAGAAAAAGTAGCCATGAGGGTCCAAATCCTGCAACAAGCTCCCATCACAATCATCGCAACAGTCAGGTGGCGGGGCAAGACATCGCTGTGAGTTTTGCTGTCCAAGTCGGTGGAAGACAGTTCGGAGTGGACGTCCCACGGCTTTTTGTTGTCGAGTTCACCGAACTCCTCCATGAAGTCCATAGGCAGCCTGCTACGAAATCTCTTGTACAAGTCGATCTCGTCGCTCAGATAACTGGATTCCTCCGTGCTGGAGCTGCACAGACGTCAGAGATTTTTCTCTCCCCCTACACTAGCGTGCAACCTGGTTGTAGATTTCGAGCTGTCCTTGAGGAGCTGCGGAGCGATCTCAATATTGTCGTCCTGCATGATTTCCTCTCGGATAGCGTCCACTTCGGCCTCCTGCTCCTTGTCCGCGTACTTGGGGGCTATGCTTCTCATCGCTTCGTCCTCCCTCCTCTCCGCTTCCCTGAACAGACCAGCGAGCGTTTCAGAGTCCACCGATGACGACTCGCTGCTGGTGCTGTAGTCGGCCGATATTCGGCACTTCTCAGCCATCTGGTCTATGACGTAGTTTGGCTCATCCATCCTTGAATAGTTGAAGATCGTTGCCTTCTGGACGTGCCGAGGATTCTTCGACGACCTGTCCGGCCACAATCCCATGTAGCACTCGAACAGGTTGAACAACCCTTTGGAGGCCTTCTCAGGCGTGAACTGGCCGTCATCGTCTTCATCGATAATCCTCGGCATCCGCTCTAGGTTGTACTGCAAGTTCTCCTGCTCTATCTCATCCCAGACCTTGTCGAATGCTTCCGAGTACTCCTTCTCCGTCAAGTTGTAAAGCTCGCAGATGGTCTTCCCTTCCCCATCCCCATCCCCTACTATTATCACTTCCTCTTTCCCTCCACTCTCCCCTTGACCCCCAGTGAGCCGCACTACTCCCAGGAAGCGACTTGGAGTATTTTTCAGCGATAGCCCCCAAGAACAATCCACTGGGGAAGCAGAACGGTCTGCTATCATGCTTGCTGCTACCAACATGCTCACGAGCAATCGGTAGAAGGTCATGACCTTGAGTCCATCAAGAGAAGCCTCGCCCGTTTGCTCGCTCACCCTTGGGATCGGGCTACGATACTGATCCGACTGCTCACCTGTCAAGACATAGAGATCAAACAGGGGACAAGCGAGCAAGATTGTAACAGTATGAAGCACATAGAACCAGGCGAAACATTGACAACTCTGATAAAAGTGCTGTTGCCCATCTTCAGCAACCCCTTCCCCTCCTTCCCCTCCTCCTCTCCCTTAAAGCCTCCCACACACACATCCCCTTGCTCCTGCTCCTGCTCCTGCTCCTGCTCCTGCTCCTGCTCCTGCTCCTGCTCCTTCTACTCTTGCTCCTCTTGCTCTTTCTACTTCTCCTGCACCTCCTGCTCTCATTATCCTGCTAGTCCCGCTCCTGCACCTCCTCCTCCCTAGCACCTCACGGCATTGCGGCTCCTCCAGCATGTTGATCCCGACTACCCCGTTGTCCCTATACCCCCCACCCTCAATTTTATCACCCTACCCCACTCTTATATTGAAACTTCAACGAGATTTTCAATCAAAGTACCCCACTTGAAAAGTGAGTACCCGTGATGTCAAATTGCACCCACCCCCAACTCATCCCCCGCCTATCACTACACTTGTTTTACTGCGAACGGGGGCCATGGCGAGTGGGCGGAGCCTTGCGAGGCCTTTCATGGCGCGAGGGAGCGGAGGAAGCATGTCGACTGTCCTCACCTCCTCCTCCTCGCCGTCATCTCTGACGATCTCGTACCTCTCCGCCTCCTCCTGCACCAGCACCTCCCATGGTGGTCAAAGCAGCAGTTGCAGCGACAGGACGAGAAAATCCCCCGCGCTTCCCCACATTAGGACGCAGAGGAGATGCTTCCCGAGCTCCTTGGCACAAGGATCAGCTCGTGTGTTCTTCATGCCGCTGGCAGCGGCATGGAGGCGGCAGCAACTCTCCAAGATTAGAGGATGCAAGTCCAGAATAACAGAGACCAGCGTGCCATCCAGGGGCTTCACACAGACTTCAGTCCTGCCTGCAGCAAAGACTTTGGACAGGGTGATGATGAAACAGCTATCGGTGCAATGTGTCATAGGCTGCAACCCGGATGAACGAGACATGTTGCAGGAGCTCGTGATTTCCATCTCAGTCTTCACCGATCTCAGGAAGTCCCTCGGGGAGCACGTGAAGAAATGCGACGTCCTGGACGAGATGAAAGTTCGGGCGCAGTCGCCTGACTGGGCTTTGCATGCAGCATCGGAGTTGGCAGGAACGCACAACTACTCGACCTTGGCGAAGATAGCAAGAAGGATAGCGGAGGAGGGAAAGTTCTTTACGATAGAGGCGCTGGCCGAGTGTATCTCCCGTGAGGTGATCGTAGAGTGTAACGCAAGGAGGGTGACTGTAGAGATCGACAAGCCTGCTGCCTTGAGGAAGAAGGGAGCCCGGGCTGCAGCTGTTGAGATCACTCGCGATAGAGAGGACTTCATCTTCAGCTCCTTGCCCGAAAACCCCGACCATGGCAAGGCCGTGAAGCAGCATGATGCTGTCTTCCATCAGCTCTCTGCTCAGCATGCGGCAGCGACTGAGCCGATTCAACTGCATCCCAACGTCGCCATGATTGCATTGGGCTCAAACGTTGGGAACAGACCGCAGAACATCCAATCAGCTCTGAAGCTGCTGGAGACGAACAAGTGTCAGGTCCTAGCCACATCCTTCCTCTACGAGTCGCCCGCCTCCTACGTGACCAATCAGCCTTCTTTTGTGAACGCTGCGTGCAAGATCGCGACATCTCACGGGCCCGACGAGCTACTCAAGGTGTTGAAGGTGTGCATGTCAGAATACCCGACGTTCTGTCAGCTGATCAGAGTTTTACATCTCCAGGTCATCGAGAAAGAAGTAGGAAGGCAGGAAAGATTCAGGTGGGGACCTCGAGAGGTCGATCTAGACATCTTATTCTACAATCACTCGGTATGCCGTCAAGTGAAGCTGCTTGCGACAAGTCTCAAGCTCATTGCAGGTCTACGAGAACGCTGACCGGACGCTCACTATTCCCCATCCGCGGGTAAGCTCCCTCCTCCTTCGAGCCCTCCTCCGTCTCTCTCAGACACCTGCTCATCTTCGACCTGTCGAACTTGATTGCTCATGTTCCTCCTCCAGTTGTGCGAGAGAGACTTCGTCCTCGGGCCTATGTGTGATATCGAGCCTGGATGGATCCATCCGGTTCAAAGGAAGCCTGTTGTATCTATCCTCAAGGAATTGCTGCAGAGCCAGAAGGTATGAGCAGCACCTTGTTCTTTCCCAGCACAGAAGCATCCTTGACTCTTACTGGCACCTCAACAGGCCGATCGCTGCACTCTGAGCAGGATCTTTCCTGTGAAACAGAGCGGTTCGAGGTTACAAAAGATGTCAGAGGGAGAGAGTGGAAGTTCAGACTTCATGCCCTTGTCTAGCCGGGGATCTTACACAAGCATCATGGGCATTCTGAACGTCACGCCGGATTCCTTCTCTGATGGAAACAAGTTCTTCGACCTGCAGTCTGCGGTATCTTGCCTCCCCCCCTTCACCTCTGTATCCTCCCTCGTCCCTCTGTACCTCTCTTTCATTTTGTTCCCATCTTCCATTCCCCTTCGCTACCTTCCTTCTGTCAGAACCTCTCGTCCTTCCTTCTAAAACTGATCCACCCTCCCTGACTTCTTCTGCCCATTCTTACGCTCTTGTTATAGCTTCGACAGTTCAAGAACATGGTGGCTGCCGGCGCAGATGTCATCGATATTGGCGGCCAATCTACCCGACCTAATGCCAAATACTTGGAGGCCGAAGAAGAGCTCGAGAGGGTCTTGCCGCTGATAGAGGCAGTGAGAAGAGAAGGTGAGGAGCGGATTGAGGGATGAGTTCTGATGGCCATGGCCAGGGATTGACACCCTAATCTCGATCGATACCTTTCATAGTGCGGTGGCAAAGAAGGCAATAGAAGCTGGGGCAGACATGATCAATGACGTTTCAGGTGGTCTCTTGGACCCCAAAATGCTCGAAGTGGCGGCCGCTCTACATGTAACACGTCTGCCCTTTGTTTCTCTGCCGTGCTGAATTACGCCTTCTCCATGCTCAACCCTCGCCTTGGTTTCCTCCTCTTCTTCCTCTTCTTCCTCCTCCTTCTTTCCTTCTCTCGGCATGTCACTTCCTTTCTCTTTCCCTCTTCTCTCGTTACTTCAGGCTCCCATCTGCCTCATGCACTACAGAGGCAATGCGGCGTCCATGCAAGATCTTTGCAACTATCCTGTGAGAAGTCACTGCCACCCTTGGACTCGCTCATCTCTACGTCCACAGGAAGATCTCGTTGCCGCCGTTGCGTCGGAGTTGCGCAGTCAGTGCAACGCGGCGTTGAAGGCGGGGGTGGTGAGTCGAACAGGAACGAGGTTGTGCTTGCTTGCCTGACGTCCTAACAGCCCAAGTGGAACATTATCGTCGATCCCGGCATTGGCTTCGCAAAGACATCAGAGCAGTCGGTCGCTGTGCTGAGAGACGCGAGAAGGTTTCAGGACCTCACCTCCCCCTTTGGAGATGTTGTACCGCGCGGTAGGTTGAATCCTTGTTCCTCTCCGGCTCACGCGCTATCCTTGCAGTTCCGCGAGTGGAGGAGCTCTCCTTGGATCGATCATTCCCTCTCTTGATCGGGCCCTCTCGCAAGTCCTTCATCGGAAGCATCCTGGAAGAGAAGGACGCGGCTAGTGAGAGGAGGCTCTGGGGGACTGCCGCCTCCTGTACTGCTGCAGTGCAGCAAGGAGCAAACTTCTTGCGGGTTCACGACGTGAAGCAGATGAAAGACGTCGCTGCTATCGCTGATGCAATTTATAGAAGAGGATGAAACTTCACAGGCAGATAAAACCACGCAGAGTGAATCAAGGCTTCAACCCCAAAGAGTCCATGATCTACCGAAGAGAATGTTACGACAGGCTCCTCCTCCTACTGCATCGAACCTTCTTGTAGATCTCTAGAGTCCTCTCAGCGTCTCGCTTGGCATCATTCATGTACTCGTATCCTCTCCTGAAAAAATTCTCAGGACAGATGGAACACGAGGTGGCTCGTACTTGGGTGCGGTGGACGTATCGGCGAAGATGGCTGAGTAAGCGTTTGAGTCGATCTCTTGTAGACTCTTGTCAAACTCCTCGAAGAGGTCGATGTCCACCTGTTGTCATGCATGAGAGCGGGGGGGGCGGCCGGGGGGGGGGGGGGATGAAGGGAGCAGCATGCTGTAGACTGCAATCAGCGCATTCACCTGCTTCCTTAAGAGAGCCTTTCGGATACCGAGCAACGGACTTCTGCTCGCAAACTTACTTGCAGCTCGATGCAGGTGGAAACTTACTTGTTCCCAACCGTACCGACTTGTCGCCTAACGTTATCGCCATTCAGTTCGTCCCCGCTCCCGGCGTACTTGGTCCAGTTCTCTATAAGATCCACTAACGTTGCATAGCCTGCTCAGGAGTTGCTCAGGAATTGATGAGCAGCCCGCGAAATGCCAAGAGCTCACCAGCACGAATCTTCTCATCATCCACATCTTCGGCAAAAGAAGTTGTAGGCATGGCAAGCAGAGTTCCGAGCAAAATCTTGTTCACAGCACTTCGCTGTAGGAGCTTACATGTTTCCTCCGACGACGAGCGAACTGACATCGAGAGAGCGAGCTTCCTCTCTTTGGCAGCACTATGAATAGAAGCTGATGAAATGGAAAGAGGAGGTGACCCTGGGTGACAAGGAGCAAACGCCATCGCTGCTGCTGCGCATGCCAGCACGAGGGTCAGCTTTCCAAGCATGGCGGATGAGGCGCAAAAGCATACGGAAGGGACGAGGCGGGCCTGGAACAATCCCCAATGACTCCAGACTCCACTGACCGTGTGACCGTACTCCGACTGGGTCAAGCGCGGCGGCTCAGTTGACTCCCGGCGCGACGAGTCAGGCGCGGGCCGGGCCCGGCCCGGTCGAGCCGGCAGCTCAGCCGAATGAGTCAACCTGCCAGCCTCCCCGGGCCCAGTGCTGACCGACCGCCACAGGCCGCGGGGGACTCAGAACTCAGACGGTGCGAGCGGCCCGCCGGGCGGCAACCGTGCTACAGTGGCACTGTCGGAAATTAACTTCTGGGGCCCCGCGGGTGCCAGCCTCGGTGATCCGCCTTGCCTTGCGGGCCCAGCACTGCGAAGCCCGCGCCCCCGTGCTTGCAGTGGCGCACTGTCATACTGGCCGCTGCACTTCAAGCGGCTTTGGGATGAGGGCAGGCGGGGGCAGCTTGGATCAACTACTTTTGCTGCACTGCGGCAAGGCGAGGTGTAAACGAGTTTGCAATCAGCATGTGGAAAGCGTGACAGCGACTGGGTGGCAGTATGAGGATCCTCAGGAGTTTGCGGTTGTACCTCACCACCACTGTTTCACATCACAGATCAGGCCCGGAGAGCAGTAAATGAGTTAGCGGGATATTGAAACTTGTATTTCCATATGTGTCAACACCGCAAGTGCGCGCGGGGAGAGGCGGAAGAAGCAAGAGCGGAGCAGTTGATGGGAAAGATCAAGCAAGGAATCGCTACAAGCGAACAAGGAAGTAGCGGGAGCTATGAAAGCAATGAAAGGAAGCGGCACGATAGGAGCAAGGAAAGTCAAGGCCAGGGCCCAAAGCCTCAAGGAAGTCAAGGAGAAGAGGCGGCTTTATTCATACTCCCTTCCTCTCTTAAGCTAGCTCGCTCTAGCCGAGGATCCGGCTAGGTGCCAGCTACGCGCCCTTACATGGGAGCGAAGGTCGGCTCCTGCTCTGGGCTCTTTGCACCACCGCGCTTTCCCTTGAGCATGGGAGCGAAGGTCGGCTCCTGCTCTGGGCTCTTTGCACCACCGCGCTTTCCCTTGAGCATGGTGCTCAAGGTCGGCTCCTGCTCTGGGCTCTTTGCACCACCGCGCTTTCCCTTGAGGATGCTGAACAACATGGCTGCGGTCAGCAAGTCAGGGCTCGAGTCTCAGCACAGCACAGCACAGCATGTCTATGAGAGGCACGGTTGCTCTGGTACTGTCACTACATGCAGTCCTAGCTCCCTCCAACGATCATGCAATGCAACCGCTCATGCCACCCCCCCGTGTACTTGTGAGAGTACTCCATCTACTGATCGTCGTATCCTGTCTCTATCTACTGATCGTCGTATCCTGTCTCTATCTACTGATCGTCGTATCCTGTCTCTATCTACTGATCGTCTTATCCTGTCTTCGACTTCTCATGTCCTCATGTTTCTCTTCGATCTTGTCGTACCTGCTTGACGCGCTTGTGTGAGTTCTGACCCTTCAGGCCTGCCTGAAATACTCTTGGCTGTTGGCGTCGTAGGGGGCTGACATAAGGATGGTCCTAGGAAGTCTAATAGGGGGCAACCATAACAACAACACCGAAGAAAAAAAAAGCGGAATTATTATTATCCAAGCCGGCGCTTCGACTCTCAGTGAAGACCAAACGTATCCGGCCGCGAAGCCCGAGAAGAGAAGGGCGCATATCGTATGTCGTCAGAGAAGGGCGCATATCGTATGTCGTCAGAGAAGGGCGCATATCGTATGTCGTCAGAGAAGGGCGCATATCGTATGTCGTCAGAGAAGAGCGCATATCGTATGTCGTCAGAGAAGGGCGCATATCGTATGTCGTCAGAGAAGGGCGCATATCGTATGTCGTCAGAGAAGGGCGCATATCGTATGTCGTCAGAGAAGGGCGCATATCGTATGTCGTCAGAGAAGGGCGCATATCGTATGTCGTCAGAGAAGAGCGCATATCGTATGTCGTCAGAGAAGGGCGCATATCGTATGTCGTCAGAGAAGGGCGCATATCGTATGTCGTCAGAGAAGGGCGCATATCGTATGTCGTCAGAGAAGGGCGCATATCGTATGTCGTAGCTTCACAGGATGCAGCATGTCTAGCGTGGCAGCCAACGCTCAGAGCACCTCCTCGCTGCACTGTCAAGATAGCAGGTGTAGTGCAGCGATGTGTACTTCTGTTGCGACGCTAGACTTGCATGGCAAACATCCCGAGGACAGATAGAACAGACGCCTGGGTGCTATGGGGAGGAGTGGAGGCAGCGCCGCAGTTCCATGGTGCACGAGCGAGATGAATTTGGTCAAGCCTCATGATGAGCATCTGCAGGGTCACTGCCGAAGTCCTTCGCACACGATAGGAAGCTGTACTCAGGCTGAGTCAATAATATCTCTTGCTCCTTCTACATCCCCCGAGCTGCGCAATTCGATGACGTGAAGGTCCGATAGGGACAGCTCGAGAGACACTGAGGGCAGGGGCAGACTGAAGCAGCTGTCACCTCTCTTGTCGCGTTTAGATGCCAGTTTACACTTACAGCTCTCATTCTGTCCCCGCCGGAGGCTCCTCTGCCCTCGGCCTGTTATGATGGTAGCAGGTGACTTTAGAGCGGCAGGCAAGCAGGGGAAGTTGTACTCACGATGACACAGGAGATGCGTACATGTTCCTGTTGACAATTTCCAGTCCTTGCATCAAGGCATCTGTGAGAGCGCGCGCCTTCGCGGCCTGAGCCTTCTCCTCCTTGATTCTCTCGTTGGTTTCCTCCTCTAGTTGCTGTTCACACGTTGTAACATAAACAGACTGGACATGAATCTCCTCAAGATGTCTTACCCTGATCAGATCAGCCATTTCCTCTCGTATCTTCTGCTGCGCGACAGTACTCTCCACGTCGTTCAGGTCGCTATGCTCGAGAGGCAGCAGGCGATATCTGCAGCAACATGTGAAACGAAGAGCATGCAGCGTAGAGATCACCGTGATTCTTCCTGGATGCCTTGCATTACGTCCTTCTCGTCGTTCAGAATCCTCCATGTGGACAGGAGCTGATCGGGGATCGTCTCGCGAAAGTTGATGTCCTCTTTGAACCGATCCTGCGAGCAGCTTTGGTGGTTGCAATGCACGAATGGTATGGTTGGACCTGACTCACGATGAGCAGACCTTCTTGACATCTTTTGTATAACATTCCAATAAGCAGACATGACCAAGAGTGACAACAGTTTCGATTTACCTGTCGCACTCATGATTGATTTGATTCTGTAGTTCTTTGAGCTGGATTTCAGCGTCGACCTTTTTGTTATGTCATGTCATTCCCAATCCTTGACTCGATGTTGAAAGCATGCACCTCTGCTTGAAATAGTTTTTCAGACGCGATACGAAGCCTTTCTTTCGCTTCATCCAACTCATCTTGCAGAGATTTGAAACTTTTTTGAGTGTCAGTTTGTGGATGCAGCACGGATCGAGACTACCCAGCTTCGACTTGAGATACTAGTTGTCGTTGAACTATGTCCAGCCTTGTACTTAACAGCTTGTCGATTAACATGTCAGACTCTATTCTTTCCTTAATATTCACTGAAAGGTCTTGGTTCAATCCTAGAATCAACACCTGCTTCAGTATGGACAGCAAAGCAGATTTCATTGTATCACTGTCAAGATAGACGATGTTCTTGTCTATCCGATCTTGATCTAGCCTTCTCCTGGCATCTTGGACTCCCTCGAGCTCGTGCAGCACGGGGGCATATTCTTCGGGGAACCTGTTCATGGCATCAGCACAATCAGCCACTGTTGGAGGGCAACATGTAGCGTGATGCTGCTGAATTTCACGGACGAGGCACCTGAGGAGGTGGGAGAAAGGATCTCTGTCACTCGACACGTCGTTGTCCTCCTCCACGCCATCGTTGTAAGACTCCGCGATCGACAACTTTGAGCTCAGCATTGCCAACTTCTTCGGCCCGCCCCGCTCCAACAAGTTTTCCGTTTCCCTCCCTTCTACTACTACTGGAAACTTTGAGTGAAGGAAACCACCCCTGGGGGGGACCCCTGGCCACCCCTCGCCGGAAAGGCACCGAAGTTCAAAGCAAACGGGCCGCACCGGGCCGGCACACGGTGATCGGGGCCACTGGCACTGCTGCAGTGCGGCCGCAGTGGCACTAACCGTGAACCTTTACTCAAAGTTAAATTAAAAATCAGTGAACAGTGAGTCGGACTCAGTCGTGGACCGTACCGTAGTACTGCATCGGACTGTGCTCAGTGCCGCGTGCAGTGCCTGACTCCGGGCGCCGGACACTCGGCCCGGGAACTACCGGAGTCCGCACGGTACGAGTCAGTGGGAAGCCAAGAATCCTCTCAGCCATGATGATTCTTGAAGTGACCGGGCCGAAGGGCCAAGAATCCTCCGACCGGAGTCTGATACTCGAAATACATTGTTTACTTGCAATCTCTATTCATTAGTGTAGTAGTGAATCCTGATCGGATCAACTGAGCAGGGCTAGGTCACTGTCATACACTCTCCGGGCCGGGGAGTCCTGCGGGAAGATTTGATAGTAACGAGCGGCCATGGCTCAGCTTGACATCATTCGTTGACGTGAGCAAGATTCTTATGCAATGTAAAATCAGATCTTCAACATTCATTGTCATAGTCACTTCATGGTGACAGGGTTGAACTGGAAAAACAATTTTTTTTCCTGCCGCCGCATCACAGATTGTGACACAATCCCTTCTTACAAATGCTGATCAAGTCCACTTACAAATGCTGATCATGTCCGTGCTGTATCATCTTTTATCTGCATTCACAGATTGTGACACAATCCCTTCTTACAAATACTAATCAAGTCCATGCTGTATCATCTTTCATCTGCATGATTGTGGATGACTTCTTCCATCTCTTTCCTGCTTTCCTCCTCTACCATGTTCGCAAGGTCCCATCGTGAGGTGCGTTGTACCCCAGAAATCTGTTGATCATCCCCACTTGATTTGGCTGAACCAAATTTCTGAGCCCTCGAGAATTGCTGCTGAAGCTGCTTGCCAAAAGAAACCTTCTGAAAAAGCTTATCAATGTCATGGCGCAAATTGCGGGACTGTTTAGAATCCGCACGCGCCACATAATTTTGATTCTGCATCAATCCAGTGGATCCAAAGGGTTGAGATTGTAACCTACTTATTGCCTGCAGCTTGTATGGATTTACTTCTGCAAGCAAGTGAACAAGGTCGTCTCGCGCCGATTCTTTTTTCACTGCTTCTTGTTTCAATTCATCGAATACTTGAATCAGCTCATCATGCAGCGCTTTGAGGCGTGACTTTGCAATTTCATATCTGTTCTTTGACACTTCCAATGCTAGAGCCTTCCTCAAGTCATTTCTTTGATCTTCTCCAAGTTGTAGCAGTTGAATGGGGGAGTCTTGCTTCGCTCGGTCAATAAATGGTGACACGATGAAGGTACAAACAATCACAGCTATAACTGACGCAAGAACCAACGACAGTCTTCGAAAATATTGCCCCCTTGTCTGGAAAAGCAAAAGTCACAATCCTGAAAAGGAGGGGGAAAAATTCTTCCAGAGAATGCAAAACGTCAAATAGAAAGACAATCAAGGAAAGTTGATGAAAAGTTTGAATGCATACAACTCCAAAATGAAACACGATATCATATCTAGTTGAAATAACACGCAACATTGGAAACGACGATACGATGTAATCCTGTAAAAAAGAGCGCTGAACAAGCACAGGTCACCATCGCTTCCCTTACCCCTTCATCGCTTCGCTGCATCGGCTCCGTCGGCATTTCACACCCAAAATAACTGTCTGTTACAGATTCCCAACGGTTACAGGATTTCTTCAGGACCGGTGGTTTTGTCTGAATTTGTACCCACATGTTTCTGTACTACCTACCCTACCTTTTCGTAGCTCATTTTACTATAACCCGTCCTGGTACAGAGAGTGATCACCAATATGCGGGAAATGCCGAAGCGTCGTCATGGTTGTGCACGATGAGTAGCGCCCACAAGGAGATAACAGGGGCTCTTCTCTGAGGGAAACATCCACATCTCTTCTCCGTTGAGATACGACATCTCCTTCTAATTACGTCGTCAAGGTATATTGGTCCACCTAGCTGGTCAAATACTTCGCATCTGGCAAGTCCCGCGTACTCCGAGACGGGTATCAGAAGAGTCTGTAGTTGCTTCCTGGTTGTATGTAAGAGGGATTGTTGGATCTATTCTTGAAAGAACAAAGTGATCTCAGGTGTAGACCAGCTGCGATCATGAAGCCATCAATCCTCTCAATATGCGCCGCTGGTTTTCTGCTTTCGGCCCTGCTTGTCGTGAACGTGATTCGAACTTTTTCTTCTTCGAGTGCAAGCATTCAAAAGCCCTTAAGGCGAACTTTATTGATGCAGAATGCCGACGAAGGGGCTTCTTCGATCAAACCATGGGTGGATAGCGATAGTGAGCAAGCTTCCTTCATCACTGGCTCACCTGCTACTCAGCCAGCGCTGTTGGTGGACCCAAAGAACAGAATCAGTCATCCTTTAACGGGGGCGAATGCAGAGGCTGCAGAATCCACTTCCGAAGAACCTTATGGCTCCAGCGTAGGCGATGAGTCAGACTCCATGATTGATCTGGGAGACAGCCTTGAGAAACGGCATGAAAAGCAGCCGGACTTTTACCCTGCCAAGGGGGTCAGGCTTTTCCTTCAGATTCAGAAGAAAGTCTCCAGATACCAGAGAGCTCTCACGAAACAAAAGCTGCATAGAATAAGAAACATTGTCCTCAAGTACAAGAATCGGGGGCTGCCTCAATCTCTAGTCGCCTCATCTGGGCCCTCCAGTGCAGCCGGGTCATCTGGCACAGGACCGAGGGGTGCATGGTCAGGGCAGACGTATGCTGCTGCTCCAGACGCCCCCACCGATGATTTTTCAGCCACACCCTGGCAGTTCCCCGGGCAGCCGAATCTTCCATCCAACTTGAAGCGTTCACTTGGACAGGTCCCGGACTTGGTCTCGGACCATCTGCACAATGCAGAATTCGAGGAGATGCTCGACACATGCAAACAGGATGCGAGCTGTGCTGCTTTGATGAGTAAGGGGTTCTGGTGGCTCTTTGGAAAGCCATGGCGGAGGTGCACGTTGACATCAACTTGGGCTTGCAATCCTTATCACTGTGATTCCAATCAGCCTGGTACTACCCAGTGTCGGTACTTGCAAGACAACCCAATACAGGCGTTGGTGGATCTAGATGTACGCTGTTGGGATACTGGGAGGTCGATGTGGCAGTTTTCGATGACTAGGGACGGCTGTCAGGATTACCTGCCGTGGAAGGGAGGCACGGGTGCCCACGAGTACCTTCGTATCGGATATCAATGTCACGGTTGCGGCGGGCACCATTGCCCCTGTGGGCCGCCATGTGTGAACGAGCCAAACTTGACTCCTCGCGGCTGTACTTACCACTGGACTTCGTGCGCGCCAGGATCGGGGCCTGGGAAAAACAGAATGAGCAAGAATTGGGGAGGAAGTGGGGATCTGGGACAGAATGACTGGCTGGCCCACCATGTGGTTCAGTGCCCACCCAACACGTACCTGAGTGAATGGAGGGTGAGCAGAGAAAGATGCCCCTCAGGATTTTTGCGCATTCGCTACCGCTGCTGTGAGAACTACTGGGGGCCCTGCCGCACCTTGTCTACGTCAGGATCCACATCCTCGTGGGCAGACGGGCTGGAAAACCACAACGTCCAATGCGATCCGAGGTACGCGATGGTGACGTGTGATTTTGTTGACTGAGGGGTGATGACCTGTGATTTTGTTAACTGATTGGATGAATAAGGACGGAATCTCTCAACCACTTCCAATGGACCGGAAGCAACTTCGTCTACACCTGCTGCTGCGACAATATTTGCTGTATGCCAGCGTTTGAAGGAGGGCGTGCGAAAAAGCAGGTAATGTTCGTTGTTGCTAACCTCTGCCCTTCCTCTTCTTACGCGCAAGGGATCGCAGATACCCTACTGGCCGTACGGTCTCATCAACCCGATCCATCCGCAAGAGCCACAGCGACCGGATGATGGCGCATGGACACGGTGACCTCGATCTCTCTGGCGCATCATGAGAGCTAATGGGACCTCCGGCGCATTGCAGGAATCCTCCAGATTCTCCAAACTACCTCACCCATGGCAGCGATGTTACCAAACACCCTCGACCGCCGCCCGACGATCCCAACTGGATGAGAGGACATCTGGACCCAACAGATCACCACGAGTAAGTCGTATGCGCATCCTTTGACAACAAAACTGACTTGAGGGTGGCAGATACAGCATATGGAAATCTAACCCAATCGCACAGTTGGAGGCAATATCTAGTCACCTTGATGGGAAACACGATCAAACATGACAGGTCAACCACACATCCCTAAATCACAACTTTTGTTTTGAAGAAAACATGAAAGTATTCCTGGCTCGACCCTCGATTGATTCGAACATTCCCCTTGCTGTGCAGCTGATCGATGTGAACAACTAATGCACCTCTGGTGAAGACGAGCTTAGGCAGTCTGTGCTGACCTCTCTTCATCTACGTACGACAGCGGCGGCATGATTTTCCCGCTCATCTCGACCATTTCGCACGCAAGGAAGAAATGCACCCACATGTGTAATTGTCACGCTAAAACTCCACTATAGCTCCTCACCCCCACCCACTATCGAACTCTGGAAACAGGGGTAGGGGTACTATAGGTCGTATGAAAGGCGTCTAGCAAGGGAGGTAGGGTATATGACCGGTCATTCATCAATACTGTCACCGGTATATGTAGAATGTACCCCTCAGAAAATGTACCCCTATATACCTTTAAAAATTTATTACAAAGAACGGGTCATACTTCATAAAGTACCGGTTACTGTAAATGGGACCCTGCAAGACCTAGGGTGATATACAGACCGGTGGTTAAAAATGCGTCCAGGGTCCTTATGTTTGACTATAATTAGATGCTATAGTCAAGGGACGCATTGATTACAACAATGGCAATCGTGTACATAGTCAATATTTGTATACATTTTTGACTACAACCATGTATATTGGGTCGCTGCGTCCGATGGCGTGGAAGAGTGGATACATGGGCAGCGGCAACGAGAGGAGGAGGGAGAGAGAGAGCAGTGGAGGAGGCAGTAGCAGGCGAGGGAAGTGAGGAGACGGTATGCGCAGAGTGAGGGTGGCCTTGGAGGAGGCGAGAGGAATGGGGGCTGAACGTGAGCATTTATACAAGAGGACGAAGCAGGTGACCTCTTGCGAGGGGCAAGTGAGCGACAGGGTTGAAAGAGCTGGTAGGAAACAAGAGCGAGAGCGGGTTGCATGTTTACTATATCGGAGTACTTTGTTAGAGCTAGCGATGGCGCATAAGTTTTTAGATCTTGTTGGAGTGGTCGCAGGGTTAGCATCCCTGCTATGAGTCACAAAACACCAAAAACTGATATTCAGATTTCAGCTCTGACATTGCCTATTCCAGGCCATCGCTGATATGGTCAATTATCTTTGTGGCCGTGGTGAAATGTCGCCATGGAGCCCTCGTATATGTTCTCTCTTCATCTGAGGCATGCATTGCCAGAAAACAATATACCACAACAATGTTACTTGACGACCTTAACGCTTCATTCGGCGATGCAGAAATGCATCTCAGATCCATGAGCAGTGCAAGTGCCAGCTCAAGTGATTCCCCGCCCGTACATTATGGGAGGCAGGATCTTGGCAGCTTCCAGCCGATCGTGAATGGGAAGTCAGCTAAGTTGTGTGACTTCTGGTCGAGGAATGGCAACTGTGTTCATGGAGAGCACTGTAGGTTCTTGCACGACCCCTCAGTTGCTCCGAGGCCTCTGCAGCTGGACATCAGGTCAAAGAGATCCAGGCCGAACGTTCAAAGTCTCCTGCAGCTTCACAAGGGCAATGACAATGACTTGATCAGCCTGGACTTTCCACCTCCGAACATCAACCTGAATGCGACTTCACCCAACATGATCTTGGCAAACGACACAAGACCTTTTTCCAAGAAGAAGCAGCGAGTTTGCGATTTCTTCCTCAAGTATGGTAACTGCAGACAACAGGAAGCTTGCAGGTTTCTGCACCTTCGACTGGAGGACGTTGTCCAACAAAACGCGTTGCAGATCGTTGCTCCAGAGCATCACAACCATTCCTTTGGTGATTTGCCACAAGGACAATCTGCGCTTCATTCTTTTGAGGTGCAACACAATCACAATTCTCTGGGTAGCAATGTTGGTGGTTCAGATTTCCAACCTCTGCCAGATCTTATTCGATGCGATGATGACGAAGCTGCCCAGTTGTCTCAGAACCAGCCTTTCCGGCATCAGCTCTTGGAAAGCCCGGGAGAGCAAGCACTTGGGCTTGCAGGACAGCGACTTCCCTTCAGTTCTACGGAGAATGGAAGCCCTACTTTCAACATGGAATCCAGGGGGACCAGAGGAGACGGGTTCAAGCGGTATGCCTCCCGAGAAGCTCCAAAGCTCAATTATGAATCGGCCTTTCATGCAATACCCAGGCCCTTGTCATATTTTCCGAGCTCGCAGTTCCCACTCCCGGATACATTCACAGACTCGGACTTTCGGAATTCCTCGGTCAAAGAATTTTCTGCGCTCTGTGGACGGTCTGCAACGCTGCAGCATGACGACGCCCTTTCGTCGATTCCGTTGTGGGCGGAAGAGCCGAGGGCTCAAAGGAACATGCAGGCCAGAAGTGCCACCATGCCGAAGCCATCCTACATACCAGGAGGTAATGAGAACGGTGATGTCAGTGCAGGGAGTCTAACTTCGTTGCTAGTTGCTCGCGCTATGGATGGAAGCATGTGGCTTGTGTCTCCTGATGGATGGGCTGTGTTAAGCGAAGCGTCTAATTCATCCACGATGAATGTTGGCCGGCGACGACTTTGCGATTTCTTTTGTAAGCATGGCAATTGCCGGCATGGCCTTACGTGCTCATTCCTTCATGTCACGGTCAGTGTTTGGGATTTGAGATCAATGGCTAACACTCATTACAGGAAAGTATGCCGGTGGAGGACTACATTGAGGCCAGAACAAGGAAAATGGATCTTTCCAAGTTTCAGTGATCCACTGGAAACTTTCAGAGCTGCTTTGTTTCTCTATCTTTTTCTTCTTTCATGCTCCAGCAGGCAAAGAGGCTTGCATGTAGTACAAGGACGATTTGCATACATAGCTTGAAGAGTTTGGCTCGTGTTATGAAAATTAGTTTCAACTCAAGGCATTCACTCAAACATTATGTACAGCCATCGTATGATATTCAACTCACCGTCATCATTGAGCATCATCTGATCTTGATCCATGCGAGGAGCAAAGCGATGCTGACGCTGAGCAAGACTACTGTGGTACTGGGGAAGGAGAAACGAGCAGGTGATCCATCATCGACAGCAACGTATGGTTTCCGTGCCTTGACGCTGACAATGCGAGGATTCTTCCCTCTCTCTAATATGGCAGCCGAGAGCCTATCTCCATACAAGCAGCCCGTGTCCAGCCCCGTCGCGTGCTTGTACAGCTGAAGCCGTCTTTTCGCGTCATGCCCGAAGTAGACATGGCTAGGTCCCTTCCAGAGGGCAGCCCATGGCTCACTGACGCCATCGTCCAGCTCCAAGGCTTCGTACCTGGTACGACAAGTCTCTGACTCCTCCTCGCCTGCATTGCAAACTCTGAGATTGCGCATTGTCACCATGTGCCGATGATCCTGCTCAGCAAGCGAAAGGTCCGGCACGAGCCCAGCATGCACGACTATCACGTTGTAGCTGGGAATGGATATCGTAAAGGGCAGAGAGCGAATGAATTCAACATCCTCCACGCACAACCCATCCGTCCACTCATACTTCTCCTCCACGTCCTTTACCTTCCCCCCCGACCGAGCAAAGTAACCCCTCAAAGAAGAGATCTCGTGATTCCCAACGACAGCCATCGCATTCATGCGCCTTGCAAGTCGTACTACCTCCACTGACTTAGGGCCTTTGTTCACCTGCTCACACCCGTCAGACTACATTGAGCCACCAGCGTTGTCATTCAGAGTGCCTACCAGGTCCCCGGCGAGGATGAGGAGGTCTCCCTCCTTGTGATGGAGGCGCAGGAGCTCCTCGAGCTCGTCACAGCAGCCATGGACATCTCCCACGATCATGACGCGCCCTGGCTCCTCCTCGACCACCACGTGCCTGACCGCGTCTTCCCTCATGTGCATAACCCCCATGTGTTCGCTTTTTTACGGATACCCTCCACGGATACCTCACACGGATACCTCACGGATATGTAGCGGGTCTTGAGCCTCGTCCCCGCTCAGGTCACATCCCCCACATACACGCAATGCCACAAACCAGTCAGCAGGGAGGGTGTGGAAGAGGAGGAGAAGGAGGAGGAGGAAGCTGCAGACATATGGCAGAGATTTTGATGGGAGAGGGGGAGAGATGGCAGAGATTTTGATGGGAGAGGGGGAGGTAGAGGAGACTAGAGCATGTACCAGACGAGGAGGGAAGAAGATTGAAATGGAGCGCGGTTGATTGCTTTGATGTTGAACCGTGAATTTGGATTTAGAGGAAGATGCTGATACAGATGTAGACGTCAAAGTTGACGTTGACATTTACGTTGACATCGACGTAGTCATAGATGTTTACGTAGATGTTGAAGTTGAGGGCTATTCCCTCTGCTTGAGATATTTCGTGTTCATCCTCTGACACAATGATTACACCCGCACCTGTGGCTGAGTGCATCGTCCTCCAGGTAGACACCATGGACGAGATGGATGTCGCCCCAATGACTGGAACATCAAAGTCTACCGCGGCTAGATCTCGCAGGTACCCTCTGGCGTCTTGAACTTCTTGATCGGATCTTGTATGATTGACACCACGCTCCTCCAGCTGGCTCTATGGTGACTTCTACGGGTTGAGAAGGATCGAGATTTTGCTAGCGGTGATGGCAGATGATGGCTCGTCTTTTTCGCTTCTGACTGCAGCAACAACAGGTTGAATTCCTCGTTATCTTGATAATGTTTACTTGGGCTCTTTCGCTCTCAACGGAAGCCAAAGGGGGAGGGAGCACTTGCACTGGTCTGCAGGATTGTATCCAGGTCCCCAGCACTCCGGGTAAATCCAACGGTCCTTTCCTGTTGCCAAACCTGCTGTTTGGTTACAGCGATCTCGAGCCATACATTGATCAGGCGACGATGATGTATCATTACAACAAGCACTTCAATGGTTACATGACCAACCTCAACAACGCGTTGAAGGGAACGCTCAGCGCGAATCTGACCGAGCTTGTCTTGAATCCAACTGACTCGACGATAAGGAACAACGGAGGAGGATTCTACAACCATGGTTTGTTTTTCCGGATCATGTGCACTGCGAGTAGGTCGGAGACTCCGTCGAAGCTTCTAGAAGATGCCATCATAAAGTCATTCGGATCAATGGCACAGATGAAACAACAGTTTGCAGCTCAGGCTTCGTCTCGGTTTGGGTCTGGCTGGGTCTGGCTGGGTGCCTTTGATCTTGTGTGGGTGAAGATTATGACGTTTTATATATGTAGGTGTTCTGCCTGATGGAAAACTAGGAATTACAACAACAGCAAACCAGGATACTCCGTTCATGAAGGTACAAGACATACAGTATCAACTGATGTATCCCTTCCTGGGCCTGGATGTTTGGGAACATGCATACTACCTCAACTACCAGGTGAGCGTGCAAGTTGAGAGGGTTAGGCTGCTGACATGTGACCGTAGAATCAGCGCTCTTCCTACGTAGACGCCTGGTGGAACATTGTAAACTGGAGTCAAGTGTCATACTACTACGAGAAATATGCTTCCAAGGGACAAGTTGTACCTTGGATACAAGAGTGAAGTCTCCCAGCCCTCCCTGTTCCCTCTCCTCTCTATCACCTTATCGCCACTCTATTGTTGTTCGGCTCGTAGTGCCACTGGCTCCTTGTTTTAGGTTTTATTCGTAAGTCAAAGATTATCTTTTATTTTTGTACAACTCCTCAAAAACGAGTTCATCACTGCATAACCGTCGTCTCAGCAAAGCCAAGGAAGCAAGCAGGAATCACATAGGTCAACTACTTTTCAGAACTGGACCATTTTTGAGGTGTGCAACACAGTCCCACTTCTTGAGCATGCCCACAGGTATGCTTGCCCCATCCCTTCGAGAGCATGGTCAGATCGCAGGATAGGCGCATAGCAATAAAATGAGCATCAAGTAAAACTCACCGCATGTTTGCATTCAGAAATATCCTTTTCTTTGCCCGAGCATCTCACTTTGCTCATCCATATCTTTCCTTGGCCACCAATGTGGTTCTTTCCAGACAAGAAATTCTCAACTTTCTGCCCTTCTCCCTCGAACCCAAATGCCTGTAAAGCGATGTGAGAATTGAAGCCAACATTCGAAGACCAAAGAAGAATAATTCGCATCCGCTTCACAAGACATAAAGGAGTGTGTGAGAACAGCAGTACACGGCATGCTTACCTTGCAAATGGTTCCAGCGTTGCGATCTCCGAATTGGTCGCTGCAAACAGTGCCCCACTTCAACCGTGCTTTAGAATATTGACGAAGGAACAAGCGAGAAGAAACCTGATCTTCATGCAGCACTTCGAGCCGGCAAGCACGAGAGTTGCAATCGACAAGGCGCATAGTGCTTGTGCTGGCTTCAGGGCAGACCCCAGCAGAAGAGTCCCATCCCTCGCTAGGCCCTTGCTCCCCCAAAGGACCAGGCCTGCCGATCACTCCTGCTTCTCCCATGGTGCCTGAACAGCACCAGCAAGTGAGTCTCCTTCCCCTTCTCAGCAAGTATCACATCACCTTTCTTTCCTTGCGGGCCCTCTGCCCCCCTTTCGCCTCTCGACCCCTCGTACCCCGGTGGCCCCATGGCTCCTGGCAATCCCCTAGGCCCAGAAGCACCTTGTGGGCCTGCTCGACGTGTAAGGACTGTACACACAATATGGAAGCTATCTACCGACGGGCCCAGTAAGACCGTCCACGCCGTCTACTCCATTCATACCCCTAACACCAGGAACTCCCGGCTCCCCCCTCTGCGGGATGACCGCATTGATCTCATCGGTGTCTTCCTCATTGACTTTCTTGACGTCTTGAGAGATAGACTGCACCTGTCATCAACTCATATCAGCCACCATGACAGCAGATTGGTGGACCCCGACCTCTTCGTTGACGTAAGTCTCTACAGCTCTATCCGCGTTACTGATGCTGTTCTCCCTCTGAAGAAGCCTCTGGTCATCTGCCTCCACTTGGCTCAAGTCTTCATCCACTTCCTTCTCCTCTGCCAGAAACTCCCGTGGGACCATCGGCGACTGATCGGCGATCGTGACGCCCTCAGGGAGGGGAGGAAGCTGCACCATTCCTGCTCCCCGCATCAATCGCACATTCGCCGGGGCGTATGCGAGCAGCTCCTCTACTCGAACAGGGTTGTAGAGATCCATTCCGGCTAGAGTCGTGATAGCTGCGAGACCAAGAAGAGTAACGGCGCAGATAGATATCCATCTCGATCGCTTTGCCCCACTGAAATCAGAGTCAGAAAATGGACAAACGAAAACAAGAAATGCTATCGCAGGGAGACTAGACGAGTGTGATGCATTGATATCATGCAATCACAATGAAGACAAAAATGATGTTTGCGGAGTTGACAAGGAGATCATGGCAAGAGATATGAAGGGAAAGGACAAGGTAACCTTGCAGAGTCTAAGGTTCACAGGCGACAAATCAGTTCAACGTAGAGAGCAGGAGAGTGAGAGAGTATAGAGGAGATGGAGAGAGATGATGATCATATGAAAAACATCATTGCCACATCATTCGTCCCCACCTCATAGCCATGCCTCCCAGCAGCGGTAGATCCTCCCCCATTCTTCCTGCCATCATGACCTTTCGCCGCAGCTACCACCTACCCCTTTCGATATATGAGAATGAACCCACCCTCTACATTAGGGTTTGAACCACCCCTATTTCTCTATTAAAATAACCCTGACCCTCTCGCGAATTTTAAAACGTTGTTCAAGGACTTTACGGATACCGTCGCGGATACTGTCGCGGATAGATCACGGATATTTTTTGACGGATACTTGTGAATTTTTTGTTATTTGCGGAGGAAAAATTTGCATGCGTGTCATGTGGAGGGGAGGGCGAGGGAAGGAGGAGGGAGCGGGGACGGAGTGTGCTGGTGAAACAGAAGGAAGGAGCGGGAGATAGAATGATACAGTCAGAGATGGTGCGGAAAACAGGTCCAGAAGCAGAGCCAGGGAAAGTGGGAGGGCCGTGGCTAGAGGCTCATGAGGGGGTCGATGGATGGGAGCTGAGGTACAATAGGTTTGGAGTCAGGGGAAGGGAAGGGAAGTGCTGGGGCGTCTGCGAGAGGAAATGCAGAGAGTAGGATGGAGGAAGGTGGGCAGGGGGTATAGTTGGAAAGATATTCTGAACGTGAGAGGACCAGGATCCTGTTGGGACGCAGCAGTAGGGGATAGCCATAGGTCGGTCGTGAACTGAGTTAACGATGAGAGACTAGGAAAGGAAGTAGGGATATTGAAAGAAGAAGATATAGACTTAGCAAATGAGGCATAGAATTGGGATCCAAGAACTGTGGGCGGATCTGTATGTATTGGTCAAGGAAGGCAAAAATCTCTATAATGACAAGGATAGGGGAGGGACAGTTACTGGTCAAACTTTGTGTTGCTGCTGTTGAGCTCTTCGCAGTATTCATTTTTTTGTTTTGCTCTCTAGGCCTCAGGGAAGAAGGCTCAGCTCATGAGAGACGAGGAAGGAGCTGCTGTGAAGTACTGTGTCTTGAACTTGTAGACATGGCAGGGTCAGGTGTGATGTAGCTAGGATGTTGTCTGAGCGAACGAGCTTCAAAGTCCTTTTCCTTGCGTGTTGCCTTCAGATTTGTGCCGAGAAAGTCTTTGCGTCAAGTGGTGTGCCCCTTCCTGTTCTTGCCGAGTTGTATCAGAGAAGCAGGATGCATGCCGAGGTCGCGCCGGTGAGTGGAAGCGAGACACTGGTGAAGGATACAAACATAGCACACGAGAAGCTTAGAGGAGGGACTAACATCGCCGGATACAACAACTATTCTCTTCCCTTGCTTGCAACCTCAACTCACAATCTGACATCTCCCCCTTGGTGGTCTCAGGGAAAGATGTCGAGCGCATGGCAGGCCCAGGCGGAGGCACAGGGGGAGGTTGTCCGCAAGATGAAGGAAGAGATGAAAGCGAACCCGGTTGGTCGATCGGAAGTGAATGTTTTCTCTTTGATGACATTTCGACTTCAGGCTGCGCATACCAAAGAACAACTGGATGCTGAAGTTGCCAAGTTGAAGGAGCTGAAGGCGAAGGCTGATGTGAGCTTGTGTTCTTTGTCCAACCTCGTCTTCTTCCTGCACCCCTCCTCCTTCCATTCTTCTTCCTCTCAATTTGTCTCTCCTCCTCTCTCTTGTACCTCGTCTGTTGCTCTCCTGACCCCAGAATTGACAGGATCCCATGAACGCTCTGGAGGATCCGGTCATCAAGGCGAAGTACCAGCTCGTTAGGAGTGTGGGAGAAGAATGCGTGAGTAGCACGATTAGAAGCTGGGCGAGCAAGAGCTGAGAGACTGTCGGTGGCAGGTCACGGACGGAGAGCTTGCTCTCCTGCTGTCCAAGAAGCCAGATGTGAGTGTGTCAAGGTGGTTGTGCGGTGACGGCTGACTGCCCTTACTCAGTCGTTTCGGTTGTACGACGGGTTTGAGCCCTCGGGCCGCATGCACATTGCGCAGGGCATCTTCAAGGCCATGAATGTCAACAAGTGCACCAAGTCCGGAGGGACTTTCATCTTCTGGGTGGCCGACTGGTTCGCGCTCATGAACGACAAGATGGGGGGCGATCTGGAGAAAATCAAGACGGTGGGCAAGTACTTGGTGGAGGTGTGGAAGGCCACAGGGATGGACATGGACAGAGTTCAGTTCGTGTGGAGCTCGGAGGAGATCGCGTCCAATGCAGTCTCCTACTGGACGCAAGCGCTGGACATCGCGAGGAGGACAACGATCACGAGGGTGAAGAAGTGCTGTCAGATCATGGGAAGGTTGGAGAACAAGCTGACGGCAGCTCAGATCCTCTACCCACTCATGCAGGCGACCGACATCTTCTTCCTCAAGGCAGACATCTGCCAGCTGGGAGTCGATCAAAGGAAGGTCAACATGCTTGCCAGGGAATATTGCGATTCCGCAGGGATCAAGAACAAGCCGATCATCCTGTCCCACCACATGCTGTACGGCCTGAAGAAAGGTCAAGAGAAGATGTCGAAGTCAGACCCTGACTCAGCGATCTTCATGGAGGACACGGAGGAGGACGTGGCGAGGAAGATCAATAACGCCTACTGCCCGAGCAAGCCCGAAGATGAAGCCCCTGCAGCGCAGGCCGAGGACATCGACGCTGGTCTTGAAAGTATGCACTTGACCTCCGACGATCTCAAGAACCCTTGCCTCGACTACGTGGAGAATATCATCTTCTCTGTGCCCGAGGCCACTTTCACAGCTGGGGGTTCCACTTACAACTCCTTTCAGAGCGTCAAAGACGACTTTGTCGCCGGGAAACTGAGCGAGGCAGAGCTCAAGGGCGGATTGATCGCTGCAGTCAACAGGCTGCTGGACCCTGTGAGGAAGCACTTCAAGGAGGACGCCAACGCCAAGGCCATCCTCGACCAGGTGATGCAGTGGAAGAAGGAGAACCTCGTGCCCCCCAAGGGACTCAAGAGGCTCGTGGCCATGCAGAGCAGCAAGCCTGTCTGGTGTGTCTTCGCCCCCTACGCCACTGCTGAGATCACCCTGGGCCAGCTGACCTCCATCATCCGCCACCTCCAGCAGGCTCCTGCTGACCACCAGAAGGTCTTGTGGTGCCCGGACTGGAGCAGCTTCGCCGTCAACAGCTGCAACGGGGAGCAGAAGGTCATCTCTGCCTGCTACAGCATGATGATCGAGGCCCTCACGGCTGTGATGCCTGACCTGATGAAGGACGTCAAGGTCCTGATCCAGAGCGAGGCCATTCTCCTCGACCCCTCCCAGTACTGGATCTCCGTCATCAACGTCGGCCGTCACTTCCAGCTGCAACGGGTGCGAGCGGTGGACGAGGCCAACGAGACGGCCGGCCAGGTCATCGCTGCAATGATGCATGTCGGCGACGTGCTCGCCATCGCTCCCTCCACAATCTGCTCCTCCCCGGCGGCCAAGGTGGCGCACGAGCTTGCTTGCGACTACATCAAGGAGACGGAGGTCACTGAGATCGCGGTCCCCGCAGTACATGTGTCTCCTCCTGTCGACTCAGCGTTGAAGCCTCCTCATATGATGGACGGCCCTGCCAACGCCGACGACGAGATCTATCTGCTCGACGCCTCCATGGACGTAGGAAGGAAACTGAAGCGCGCCTTCTGTGAGCCGTGAGTGATCTCCTCCTTTTCTCTTTCTCCTCCCGCTCCTGCTCCTGCTCCTGCTCCTGCTCCTGCTCCTGCTCCTGCTCCTGCTCCTGCTCCTGCTCCTGCTCCTGCTCCTGCTCCTCTTCTTTCTTCTCCTCCAGTTCCTTCTCCTGTCTCCGTCTCCATTCTCTGACACATTTCTTCTTCCTCCATCACCTGTTCTCACACAACTTGATGCAGAGGAAACGTAGAGCACTGTCCTCCCATCACGCTTGTGGATGCCTGCGTCATCTCTGCAGGGAAGGGTCTCGCTATCAACCGCAAGGAGGAGAATGGAGGAGACAAGAACTATGTGTCCATTGGTAAGCCAACCTTTAAGCTCTTCCTCTCATTCCTCCTTTCCACTATCAATTCCCTTGCTTTCCCTCTCTTTCCTCTCCCTCTTCTCTCCATCCTCTCTCACAGACGCATCGATGATCGGGCCCGCATCCTCATCCCCCCACCTCCACTCCCTCTCCTTCCAGGCTCCCCCTCCCCCTCTCATGGAAGATTCTCTATAACGCCTCCCCTCCATCGATCTTCTTTCCTCCCCTGCTCGATCTTTCACCTTCTCCTCTGCTCACTTCTCCTCCAAGACGACCTTGTCGCCGACTTCAAGTCCGGAGCTCTTCATCCCGGCGACTTGAAGCCCTCGGTCACCAAGGCGGTGGACGCCTACATGCAGCTCATTCGCGACCGCGTCAAGGCCAACGATGCAGCGAAGAAGGCGGAGGTGAGGGAGAGCCAGCAGCAGGGGCATGCCCTGACGGTGCTGACAGGCTGAGCTCAAGAACTTCCTCAAGAAAGCAGCGGCCAAGAAGAAGAAGTGAAGGGCGCCAGTAGGGAAACTCTCTCAGTACTCCTCGCCTTAGTTAAGTCACTCATGAACATGTCACACACTATGATCCCAGCAACTTCCGCCGCCCAACTTGCATGTGTAGTACTACGGTAGTCACACTAAAACTCCACTGTAGCTCCTCACTCCCTGGCGGCCGGCCGGGCCGCAAGGTCACTGAGAATGATTCTCAGTCTGGCCTGGGCCCGACTCGACTCTCTTGATTGTCCTCGTACTGTTTTTAACTTAACTTTGAGTAAAGGACTCGGCTCCGGGCATGTGAGTAACTTTGAAAAGAAAGAAAGAAAATAAAATGGCTCCGTCCTATCTCATGCATGGAAAATTCCCGGGAAGTTCGGGGGTAGGGTAATTTTATAACGGGGTACGAATCCCAGTGAAAAAGGGGTGACGCATGGTTCCTTTCATTTTCATGGTGGTAGGGTAGTCTTCATTTTTTTTTCATTATCAAAATTTGTTGCGACCCCCGTCTTCTAATAGTACCACCCCTACCCCTTTGATAAAAAGTACCCAACCCCCGAACATCACTAGCTGCCAATTTACAGACCCCCTATTGCTAACTTGAGCTACTACCCCTACCACATCATCAATAGCGATCACCCAACATTACCCTTCTCTTTGCCTTACCCACCCCCCTTTGGATGCAGACCCACACGAAGGTAATGGTAATATTCCTAAAAGTACCCCGTTCTCTCGATCTGAAATAACAACAACCCCTCTCTAAGACATTATCACCCCCTCCATTTCAACGGATCTTTATCTACCCCTCGTTCCCTTCACTGCCACCCCCGCAAAAATCTCCACCACCCCTTTTGAAGTACCCTACCCAATTTCCTTGTCGAGACCCACCTGTCCATGCGAACCCCAAGTCACATACCCCTACCCCCAACACAAAATTCAGTACCACCGAATTTCCCGAATCTCGAGGTGGCAATTGCTATCCATATACTACCCCCACCCTCTCAATTATATGACCCCACCCACTACAAGGGACTTTCATCTTGTCGGCCTCCCCTCCCCTTCCTCTGTTCTTGTTTCTCCCTTGCTCGTTCCCCGGCCCCTCCTCGACATCACTCCTCCACCTCCCACCTCCCTCTACTCTCACAGCCCCCCCACAGCTCCTTCTCCTTTACACCAGCTGCTGGACGGATCCTTGCTGAGGTCCTTCCAGTCGTTGCTGCCGAGGCCAAGCTCCTAGTCGCTCGACCACAACCAGGGGTGCCAGTGCATTACAGCGCTGAGCTGAGATAACCCTTTGAACTTGACCTGGATAATACCAGCGGAAGGAGGTTGTTGGTCTTTTGAACCATGTCCATTACGAACGAGAGTGGTAACACTGCAATCTACGTGATCATACCGATCTATGGTGTCTTCTTGGTATGCATCAGTGCATTCAGCTACTGGAAGAACAGTAGCAACAGTGAGATCAGGTGCCTGGGAATCTCCATCCGAGGTGACCGAGTGAAGGATCTCACTCAATCCTTCCTCGGAGCAGGAAACGGAGTCGGTGGTCTGACGCTTTTCTTCACCATGGCTGCAAGTCTCTTCAGTGGATACTCCATCTCGGGTATCGCAAACGAGGCCTACACCTTTGGATTCGCTGCCATCCGTTGGATTCCAGCCGGTGTTGCGCTCTATGCAGCTTTCATGATCATGGCACCGAGAATGCATGCGCTCGGCAAGAGTCGTGGTTATCTTACCCTCGGCGAGCTCATCTATGACCGTTTCTCGGAGCCCGCTTGCTCCCCGATCATCCCCCATACGTTGAGGCTTGTGTCTCTCTTCTGTCTCCAGCTTCCAGTGTTCTGCTATCTCATCACGCAGTTCTCTTCTGTCGCGGTTGAGGTGAGATCACTCTTTGCTGACTCGTGTGTCTGAAACCATTTTGGCAGCTCGCTGGATACACTGGTGGATCCGATTGGGGTGGAGGAGGGATCGGGAGATATCCTGCTATCATCGTGGCAAGCTGCGTGTTGCTTGTTTGTGGCCTGCTGGGTGGTCTGCGTGCTGTTGCATACAATGATGTGCTTCAAGGGTTCATTCTCCTCATCGGGAGTCTTGTGTTCTTCGTGATTCAGCAGGAGGACCTCGGAGGAATGAGTGGTGTCAAGGAGTTTGTGACCTCCCCGTCCTTCCAGAAGTCCAATCCCTTTGGATACAAGCAATTCAACTATGTTCCAGCTGCTGAAGGGTCTTGGAGTACATCATCATTCGCCACCTTCATCATCAAGGTTATGATTGCCGCAACCATGTACCCACATCTTGCCATGCGACTTTATGTGGCTAGAGACAGCAGAAGCATGAAAATTGGCTTGGCGGGAATGAACTTCACATTCTTCAGTATGTTATTCTTTTACTTCATCTTGATTCTATCTTACATGTGTGTTCCAGTTGTTCAGTTCAGCTCCATGGTTACAGGATGGGTTGCTGTGAAGGCGCTTGCGGGTAGCCCTAAGACGTACTCTACTTTTGGATCGATCGCTGCGATTGTGCGGAACAAGGGCGCTGGAGGCGAATTTGCATCTGCGCTCCTCGTGACGGCTGCAGTCTGTGCGATGCTTTCCACTGCTGACAGCGCTCTCATTGCATTCTCTACGATGTGGCTGAGAGATTTCTACTTGCCTTACATCAAGCCGACGGCATCGCAATTCTCTCAGGTTGTCTTTACCAAGGTCATGGGAGTCTTCGGTTTGGCGCTTGGAGTGTTTCTTGCGTGCATGTCTGTTCGATCTGCACAGCCTTGGAACTTGTCCAACTTGTTCTCCTTGCAAACTGTGACTCCGATCCACGTGGCTCCCGCGGTGTGGCTCGGCCTCCATTGGAAGGTAACACAACGCATTCTCATGCCTTAGGGTTTCCTTACATGCTGGTCAGGGCTTGCGCGGAGAGCCTGTGCTGCTCGGAATGATTGTCGGCCTTGCCGTGACGTTCGGATTCACCTTCTCAAGCCTTAACGTCAAGTTGAGCCTGGGACAAGAAGAAATCAAGTCAGGATGGTCGCCGTCTCTGGTCGGGCTGTGCTTCAACCTCATCGTCACTGTTGGTGGAGGCTTGCTGCTCGAGAAGTATCCAAACCTCCTCAAGACCGGAGAGCTGGCGCAGTTTGCAAGGCCGATGGACATTCACAAGTTGTTTGGAGAGAAGATGGATCCGATGATCAACCCCGTCATGTGGCTCGTCTTGAGTATCATCATAGCCTTCATTGTGCCCTTCTACAGGGACATGGGCTCCCCTGACTACTTCGTCGGCAGCATGACCGCATGGGCCTTCACCTCTCTTATGATCACAGGCTTGCTGACGCTGGCGACTGCCTTCTGCTACGTGCGCTTCTGGAAGGACTACGATCTACCCAAGGAACCGAGACTCTACCACTTCGACGGCGATGAATCCCAATATGACAAAGAGGCACCTAAGGACTCTGATCCCTCTGGAGGGTTCGCACCTCAGCCTATGATGCAAGTGTTTCCTCCTTCGTCTCCATCAGGGGTTGCTCAGCCGATGTACTCGCCGGGACCTTTCGTCAACTCTGCCAGCACGCCTGTTGCCAGCTTCCAGCCCGTCTACCCGTCTGTCATGACTCCAGTACCATCGTATCCCTCTATTGGTTCCGCATGAATTGCACGAATGCATCTTGGTATGATGCAGTAGATTGTAAGTGATGTTCTGAGTAAAATCAGAAAAGATAAACACTTAAGAAGGGGAGGACAAGGTGTGATAATTATAACAGAGGGTGTATTGCCACTTTGTGGATTCTTTGTGTTACAGGCTCATTATAACTGTAGGATTGTTTGTTACCCCACTGTGACAGTCGATCGATGATGATCCCAATGACTCATATGAACAAGGGCTGTGCTGAAATCGAATCAGCATTCGAGCGCACCAGCGCCAACCCAGCATGGGTGTTGACAAACACCAGTAAAGCTGAAAGCTTTGTGACGGCTTGTTTATCCTCCGAAACCGTAGAGGGTACGTCCCTGGCGCTTGAGGGCGTAGACGACGTCCATGGCAGTGACGGTCTTCCTACGAGCGTGCTCGGTGTAGGTGACAGCGTCACGGATGACGTTCTCGAGGAAGACCTTGAGGACGGAGCGGGTCTCCTCGTAGATGAGACCGGAGATACGCTTCACACCACCACGACGAGCAAGACGGCGGATGGCGGGCTTGGTGATGCCCTGGATGTTGTCACGGAGAACCTTCCTGTGACGCTTGGCTCCTCCCTTGCCAAGACCCTTTCCTCCCTTTCCTCTGCCGGACATTGCGGTGGTTGTGTGAGGGCAACCATCGCAGCCTCCTCCTTATATTTCGAATCTCCCCACCCCCTGTGCTGATTCCCCTGTTTTTGTGTTTTGATTCTCCAGTACCGGTACCTTCACTGTGTTTTGGGGGTAATGGAGATACCCCCTACCCCCATTTCTACAGAACTATATCTGTATCGGAGATAACTAAAATCTTTATTCAGTACTACAATTAATAGTCCCCGCGCTGTTGGCTGTGATACCAAAAGCCGACGGCCTGAAGTAACGAAATGAACTCTCAACAAGACTCTTCTAGTTGTCTACGAACTTGTCATACTACTATTTGCTCTGAATTCACTCTCGACAGTCGGAACTCGAAGCTTCCCTCAGCTTCCTCAGCTCTCGCAGCTCTCTCAGCTCTCCCAGCTCTCTCAGCTTCCTCAACTTTCTCAGCTTCTCTCAACTCAGATTCTCAGCTCTCAGCAACCGTGGGCGCCGCAGTTCTCAAGGCAGGATGATCGGGGACTCAGTTAGCCGACTGAGCAACTTCAGTCACTTCAGGCTGAGTCACCGTCAAGTCGAGCTCCGAGCTAAGAGAGAGAAAAAAGGAGGAGGAGGAGGAGGAGGAGAGAGGGACGGGAAGGAGGGTTGAGGAGGAGGAGGAGGGCAGGCCAAGAGTGTAGGGAAGCTTCCTTTGTTAAATTCAGTTCATCGGATGATCGGCGGCAGAGGATGCAGAAGGTTCAGGCAAGTGGCTCAGAGGCCAATCGCTTCCATGTCGACGATGCAGGAGGAGAGGGTCGTGCGTTGAACCACGTCATCGTTCCTGAGACCGCGAATCTGCCATGAAAGAGGAGAAAATAAGATGAGAAAACGGGAGGAGGAGGAGGAGGAG